TTCAATACCCGCGTGAAAAGAACAAGGATAGAACGCCAAATAGAATTTGATTGGCCAGCCGGCAGGCTACGACAACGCATACCCATCGCGCACCTCGCAGCGTGCTTGACACGAGGATATCAGAACGAGAACTGCAGTGGTGCCAGCAAGAGGTAGTAATTTTAGTAAAAAAGATTATTTAATTAAAAAATGTAGGTACACGTTGGAACAAAAAGTTCAGATTTTAATCTGGCATTTTGCTGGTAATTCTGAACGAGAAATTCAAAGATTATTTGCGGGAATGTTCGAGGCCAGACCAAACAGAGAAACAATTCGACGAACCGTTAATAATTGCTTGTTCGAACATTTAATTTAATTTTTCAGTTTATTTATTTTTAGAGTTTTATTAGACCAAGGTCGATAATTTTTGAAACCAAAAAAAATAACAGTAGGATGAAACCCATTGGAAAAGGAGAAGAATATAATAAAAATAAAAGGAAAAATAAATTACGGGCGATCTGACTTTGGGAAGTGGGAGGGGGGGTTTTAAGGGTAAAAAATGGTTTATCTCGATTTCCGGCAAAACTACAAGTCCTATGGAAAAAAGTTAAATGGCAAAGTTGTAGGTAATAAAAGGATCTACAACTTTTGTAATTACAATTTTTTTACATAAACTCAAAATTTATGGGAAAAATTCAAAAAACCAAGTTTTTGGTTTTTTATTTTTATCTTTTTCAAAAAAAAATTTTTTTGATGAAATTGTACATAATGATTAAAATAAATTTTCGAATTCGAGTTTTTTTCGTTATTCATTATAATATTTTTTGTATTTTCTGAGAACATTTACCATAGTAATGTATATTTTTTTTACACCATCAGAAAGTAGAGAGTTCATCGAACAAAAAGCACACCGACTTTTTGAAAAAAGCTGATATTTTGACGCGAGAATTTTCGATTGAAAATTAGGGTGCTTTTTTGATATTAAGTCAAAATAAGGCGAAATAATAAATATTTTAAATCAAATAAATTACAGTGTATTTGGGACATGAAAAGGTAAGTTTTCACCAAATTTCGTGGAAAAAATTTTTCTTTTGAAAAAGATAAAAATAAAAAACCAAAAACTTGGTTTTTTGATTTTTTCACATAAATTTTGAGGTTATGTGAAAAAATTGTAAATACAAAAGTTGTAGATCTTTTTATTACCTACAACTTTGTTATTTAACTTTTTTCCATAGGAATTGTAGTTTTGCCGGAAATCGAGATAAACCATTTTTTACCCTTAAAACCCCCCCCCCCCCTCCCACTTCCCGAACTCAGATCGCCCGTAATTTATTTTTCCTTTAATTTTTATTATATTTCCCTCCTTTTCCAATGGGTTTCATCCTACTGTTATTTTTTTTCTCTTTTTACCATTTTTAAAGGCTTCTGCACTGGTCTATATTTTTATTTAGAGTTTTATTTTTATTTTTAGTTATTTTTATTTGAGAAATCTTTTTTATTAAGAATACTATTTTTGTTGTTGCCCTAGTTCTCAAGGAAAAAAATCAAAAAATTTTATTTTTAGGATTCGGGTATAAAATATTTAAAAAGAAAATTAAAATGTGCATCTCCACTCTAACGCAGTTTGCACACTAAATCATTTAGTCCAGTGTTGCCAACCTTTGAGAATCAAATTTCCCACAAAGAGGGTAAAAATTTCCCTTTTTTACGAAAATTTTCCCACGAATTTTAAAAATGATAAAGTTTATTTTGGCATGGGTATTTTTTGTTTTTATGAAGAAAAATACAATATTTTGAGAAACGGAGAAATTTTAATTAAAAAAATGATAATTTTTTTTAAATCATTCATTTGATAAACTAGACATTGCGTTTGTAAATTAAAACTAGTTTAATCTAACACTTTTTGTTTTATACAGCTTATAAAATAATACTTCACCAGCTTTTACAAAAATACTACACAGAAACACAGGCCCACTTATTGCTACAAATCGCACGGATAATTCTGTAAATCCCCGAGTATATTTCAAATTGTAAGCAGGGTTGCCGTTTTGCCAGTAATTGAATGTGAACCAGGAATTTACCAGTAAAAAACTTGAAAGTTGGAACGAAAATTTTTATGGCGTGATTCAACTTAGATCATCAAGTGTGATGCGGAGTATATACACTGTATTTATAAATACCCTGCTAAAAAAATAAAATTAAAAATTAACTGCATTGTATGCAAACCAAAAGTATTCTGCCAGGAATACAACGTAAATTTTTTGCCAGTAATTTCCAGTAATAGATTTTAGTTAATCCAGGAATTTAGCATTGGCCTTCCGGCAACGCTGATTGTAAGAAAAACTTGAAGCGAGCATAGAGCAGGAAAGCTATGTACGCAAGTTTGTGACAATTCACATAGAGCGTATGGCCAGGATGTATCCCCATCATCAGTGACGTCACTATTAGGCCGCTGGTTTGTTGACTTTGGCTGTCCACAAACTTGATATGTTTAAGCTGTTATTTTTAAAAGAAAAAGTAGTACCTATTATAGGTATAATACTATTATAGTAAACATTTTTTCGGTAATTTTTTTTTCATGAATGTTGATTGGACTTTTTTTTCTAGTTGTTTTAGTTGAAAATTGATTGGACTTTACAATTTCCCACGAATATAGGATTTTATGTTAAAATTTCCCTTTTCCCTTTGGCACTTAAAATTTCCCACGAATCGGGAAATTTCCCACGAGTTGGCAACACTGATTTAGTCTAAATGCAGCCAGAGTGGCAGCCAGAGTTGACCTCGCTTACAATTCGCACGCATCCGGGGCTCTGGCCAATCAAATTCTATTTGGCGTTCTATCCTTGTTCTTTTCACGCGGGTATTGAACAGCCGTCCTTTCCAGTGTGGTCGGACTTGCATTTGCAAGCACTGTATAATATTTATGTTTCTTTAAGAATTTTATTGTGGATCGGCACTAAGAGCGCTCGAACTACAAAAATGCTTTAACGTTACCAAAACGTTATCAAAACTATAGTTTTTATAACGTAGGTATTTCTTATAATTGTCTCTATTAATTTTTTTCATATTGTATGCCCAATCAAGCAAAATATTTGCTAAATCTTGCTGTGATGTTGAGTCGACTAGTTTGTAATTCCTCGCATTAGGTACAAAATGCCATAAATTTTCGCTAAATTGACGTTTTATTATTTAAAGTGTTATTTGGGATACTTTTTACAATTTTTTTTGTCGGAAACGACACCAAAATGATTTATTTTAAAAGATTTTTAAAAAACTGGTAGGTATTAAAAAATAATTATTTACAAGGTTGTCAAGAAAATGAAATGACGCGAGGTAAATAAAACACTACATAGTTTACTTCTGCCCACCATATCCCAATATAATTTTCTTATGTATTTTGACCCACTAAACACGAAAATCAAACTAATTTTTTGTTATGAAAGCGTTTTTGAGATATGAATTTTCTTTCAATTGTTTTTTTTGGAGGTGTTTTGACGTTTTTGAGTATAGCTTGAAATCTAATTGATCAATTTGTCCAAACAAGCCCTTAAATTTAAGGTATTTGACCCTATAAAACTTTCTTTTACATACTTTTGATATCGTAAACGTATTTTAAAGCTAGCGATTTTGATAACTTAAAAAATGCGTTTTTATGGCAAAAATTGAGGTCGAAAATTTACATTTCGTCAAACAGATAACTAGTTTGATTTTTTTTTCGTTAAACTGACAAGGTATTTTTATCATGTTTTAAAAATTGTAAAATGAGTAAAAGATTTAGAGAGTACAAGTGAAATGAAGGCTATGGAGCGGCGCGCAGCGGCGGTATCACGGCTTCTGGGATGCAGCCAGATAGACGCTAAAGATTATACGCACAAAGTAAATGAAGCTAACGATTATAACGAATCGACGGTCTCCGGGTTTACACGCGTCACTAATGCATCCTTATCGGACTGCAGACATAACTGTTCCTCTAAAATCTATTTCTTAAGTTATTTATGATAAACAACATTCCTTATTTTACCAAATTGTTATTTTAATAAACTAAATGCAGACATGATGGGTCCCTCATACGAGAAACTGAATACAATAGCAACAAAAAAAAAGAATGAGCCAGAATTTTTTTAAACCTATGCTTATTACAACAAAATAAAATATCAATATCTTAAATGTTCAATATTCAATATAGAATTTATTTAAATATTTAATGTTTAATATAAAAATCAATGTTCAATATTAAGTTTTATATACCTAATTCAATAAAATGAAGAAAAAACGTAAAAATTCTCGATAAGCTGAATTTTGATCTTCCACTAAAAAATTCATTTATCCATGGATTTTTATCAACAGCAGCTTATTTTTTTTCCTTTAAGTATCAGCTATACGTAAAACAAATCAAACTGGACTTATCTTTTCGATTTCTATCTTTCCCAGAAAGATATGTAAATGTTCGACCTCGATTTTTGTAAAAAAAAGGACTTTTTCAACTTAATAAAATCGCTAGCATCGAAGTACTGGGCCGATACCTAAACTTTACAAGAGAAAGTTGTAGATCCCTCAATTCCCTTTCATTTAAGTGCTTGTTTGGTCAAATCGATCAATTAGAACTTGAAGTATACTCTAAAACGTCAAACAATTGAAAATTCATACCTCGAAAACGCTTCCATGAAAAAAATTGTAAGTGTGATTTTCGCGTTTAGTGAGCCAAACCACACACGAAAATCATAGTGAGACATGGTGGGCAAAATGGCTGTAAACTAGTGTAATTATTCACTTGCAAAAAGTTACCTTCCTTTTAATCCGTTATCAAAGCGACTTAAATGCCAAAAACTACGACGTTTTCATATAAGAAAAAAAATTATCGATTGTATCAACCTCTTAAGATGCATTTTTATGTAATCTTATTTTTCTAAATTTATGAAATCAGACATTTTGATAGGTTAACATATTAAGAGTGTATTGTTCGGATTAAAAAGTCACCCTTCGGCCCATGTGCAAAAAAAAACATTTGTCTGAACTTTTAGGCGTAAACGACACGCTGGCGAACCTGAAAAAGTCCATCGAGACCGACCACAAGGAGATCTCTCCCTCGACCTTGTTCGCCTACGCGTCTCTCAAGGCCGGCTGCCCGTACCTGAACGGCTCGCCGCAGAACACGTACGTGCCCGGCCTAATCGAGTTGGCCGAGCAGACGGGCGTTTTCGTGGCGGGCGACGACTTCAAGTCCGGTCAGACGAAGATCAAGAGCGTGCTGGTGGATTTCCTGGTCAGCGCTGGCATCAAGCCGACCAGCATCGTCAGCTACAACCACTTGGGCAACAACGACGGCAAGAACTTGTCGGCTCCCGAGCAGTTCAGGTCCAAGGAGGTGAGTTTTGCGAGATGAGGGTTCTAAATCGAAGGGCTGGATGCTCCCGCCAGGGCCGGGCCTAAGGGGGGTGTAGGGGGGGGAGTCACCCCCCTCAAAGTCTTGGCAGTTGGTTTCAAATCCAAACACGGTTGGCAAAATCTATAGTATTTGGGTCGGTTGGTGGGGTATACCTACCCTACCAACCAACCCATCACAATAAATAAAATGAAATATAATTTTTAAACTTTACCTATAGGTATACATATTACAAAATTATAATTTTTAATCTTTTGTAACCTCCTATAATCGTTACCGTCAAGAAAATTGTATTGGTCAACCTTATTTTTATTAAAGGACATTATATTTCACACAAGCGGCATGTACAAAGTCGGCACCGCCTCGCGGCTTTGTCTTTGGTTTTGGCAGCGTTTGACTCTTTTTACGCACCGCAATTTTCGGCGTCTTATTTTTCTAAATAATTAATTAGTTGAAGCTTATATAAGCTAAGTAAAACTAGTGTCAATAAATAGGAATTAATTTTTTTTTTAATATGGAAAAGAAAGCTAGACCGGGCCGAGTTCTAGTAAAATGCTCATTATGTGGATCTGTGTTTAACAAGGACTAGAAAAAAAAGCACGAGGAAATTATTCACGGTGGAAATTTGGTTAAAATTAAAATTGTTACTGTTCCGAATAATCCACTTAGATTGGTAGCAAATAAAAAAAATAGAGACTTCAAAAGAGCATGCTAATGGTAGGTAAAGACATTCTTTATCTACACTTTACAACACTTTACATTCATGATAAAACTACTGAAAATTTTTACTATTACTACTAAAGTATCGATAAAAAAATAAGTTGGTTTTTTTATCGTTTCCACCCCCCCAAAAAAGTGTGCCTCGATACGCCCCTGGCTCCCGCGGACGAGTTTTCGTTCGTTCCGCTCATTACGTCACTCGATGAGTGGTAGCCGCTCGGATACACGAATAACGGCAATATTATCAAAGAATACAGAGAAATATCCGGACATTATGGGGTCACGTTTTATTTTTTATTCAGGAATTATTCTTATGTGTCAACACTAGAGTGATATTTTCAATTAGATAAAAAATATCACGTAAGAATTTTGCTTCTGCGAATGAATAATAGTGTGGGGACTAAACCTTTAATTATATTGTAAATATTTTAGTACCCGGAGCCGTTTCTTTCAACACAGCAAAATTGCCCATCATTTGCAAACATCCCTGGGTTTATTACTCCTTTACCTCTCCTTTACCTTTGCAAAAGAAATAATTCGTGTTTATAAATTAAATCCGAAAATATAATAGACTTTATTATTTTTTGGATTTTTGCCTCGTTCTAAATATTTTATACCTACCCCCAACCTCGACCAACGGTGGAAGATCTAGGAGCTCTCATCGATCACTACATCCTAATTCTCCGTCTTGAATACATCGGCTCTGGCTAACTACACGCTAAGTTTGTATATAGTTTGTGTATAAGTGTGTACATAATAAAGTTAAATTTGTATATACCCAAAAAAATCAAAATTATTAAAATTCCGGTCGTTCGTCGGCTCAATTGGAACCAAAGTTATGATCGATGATATATTGGCAAAATCGTTATAATCATGAAAATTTAAAAAATCATTTCTCCAAAAACAATTGACAATTAAAATTGAATTTTTATTTTGAGTCAGGGTACCCATGGAAAAATTGCCGAGGAATTTCTAAATGGCAAGGGTTTTTTTCGTGTCGAATTCACGTGGAATTATCCATCTGCAACAATATGCACTAAAGTCCTATATCTTTTTGTAGCATGAGTAGCAAAAAAGGTCTGACGGATGAGGAATTTGCTACATATTGTTTTTTTTTCTTTTTTCTCAAAATATGTTTTTTATTTATTTTTCCTATGTTATATTAGCCATTTGAGAACGTTTTATGTATATTTTGTACAAAAATAGAATCATATGTTAATTTAATTAAAAATATGTATTGAGCAAAAAAATACAAATATGAGAAACAGATATCAGTTTCACATAAAAATTAATTCTAATTTTTAATTAAGCGAATTAAAAATATTTATTTGACAAAAAAACACAAACATAAGCAACAGATTTTAAATTCAGTAAATTAAAAATATCACTTTAGCATAAAAAATAAATCTAACTTTTAAATAGCTGCTATGATATTTTTAATTTGCAGATTAAACATTTTCATGTGATATTTTTTATTTATACATGTATATATTTTAAAAATTAGATTTAATTTTTATGCCAAACTGATATTTTTAATGTGTTTAATTTAAAATATTTATGTACTTCTTTTAATTGTCCAGATATTTCTCTATATTCTTTGATAATATTGCCATTATTCGTGTATCCGCGCGGCTACTACTCATCGAGTGATGGAAACAAATGCGCAAGAACACACCCCTGATAGCAAAATTTGATTTTAAGAATCTTCTAAGAAGATATGACCCGGAATAATGGAATATTCTTAGAACCTTCCCTTATTGCTAAGAATGTTCTTAGGGACTTTTCAAACATTCAATAGATACCCTTTTAATGATGCAATTAGATTCTTAAAAGCTTCTTAAAACCTTCCTAAAAAGCATCCTAAGAACATTTTAAGAATACGTTTTTGGAATGTTCTAAGAAGGTTTCTTATGGAGCTTTTATGAAGCTTTTGAGAATATTTCCAAATATGTCAGATACCCACGTTCTAATATGTTGTATTCTACATTCGTAAAATTCTTCAGGAGACGACAAATACGCCTCACTGTCATAATATGACAGTGAAATGTATTTGTCGTCCCCTTAAAAAAATTTTGCGACATATTAATATATATTTATTTAAAAATATTAAATAAGCAATTTGACCTCTAAAAGTAAAATTGGAAAATTTTGGGATAAGCCAGATTAGATTGAAGTTATTATACATAAAAATGTTAATTTAGAAATAAAAAATCGGTATATAAATTAATAAATATTTATTTTTAAACTAAAATAAAATAGCTATAGTAAAAGTATTTTTACTATCGAATATTGTTTTAATTTGACAAATAACTATAAAAAAAATATTTTGGATTGTGTTTTTTTACTTAGTATTTAATCTAATTACTAATTAGGTACTTAAGTATATATCTTTATACGTAGTTTATGGTATATTTTACTATTATATAGGTAACTGAACTAAATATGCTTAACTTTCTATACCAATTACTTTCTTAACATTCTAAGCATAAATATGCTTAACTTTCTATACCAATTACTTTCTTAACATTCTAAGCATATGTTTAGAGTAGACTAATTTTTACCACTAAAACTTTGCAACTTCTTTAGGCCAGTAAGAATATTCTTAGGATCATGCTATATGTCTTTTAAGCATGTTCTTTAGAAGAAATATAGCGTGATCCTAAGAATATTCTCACTGGAAAGTTTAAAAAACATTCTTAGAATAAAGTGTGCTATTAGGGACCTTGTTTTCTTGTACCATGGGTGTATGTATCTAGGTTCAAAATGAAAGCGTTGCATCGATTTTTCGTAGATCTCCAAAAGTAACGTTGTCGACGATATGGTGCAGTCGAATGAGATTTTGTACAAGCCGGGCGAGAAGCCTGACCACGTGGTTGTTATTAAGTATGTACCGTACGTCGGCGATTCCAAGCGCGCTCTGGACGAGTACACCTCGGAAATAATGATGGGGGGCACCAACACCCTGGTCATACACAACACGTGCGAGGATTCTCTTCTGGCGACCCCCATCATCCTCGACCTCGTGGTTCTCGCGGAGCTCTTCACCCGCATCGAGCTCAAGCGCGTCGACGAGCCCGTCGAGTGCTACGCGAAGCTGCACCCGGTGCTCTCTGTGCTGAGCTACCTGTGCAAGGCGCCGCTGGTGCCGCGCGGCGCGCCCGTCGTCAACTCGCTGTTCCGCCAGAGGGCGTGCATCGAGAACGTGATGAAGGCGTGCATCGGGCTGCCGCCCGACAACAACATGACCTTGGAGCACAAGGTTCCGTTCCTGATGGCAACGGTGTGCCATCAAGAACCGGACTTGAAGAAGCGGAAGGTCGAGAACGGGAAGAATTAATGAGGTGAGTTTATACGAAGGCGTGGAAGGGACAACAAAAATTTTACAAGTTTCAGTCAAAACCAACTTTAATTTTTGCAATTTCTGTCCTACAATTATTGTAGGTTCATCCTATTTGTGACTAAGGCACTTCTTGCAATTGTAGGTTCATCCTACAATTGTAAGTTCAAGTTACAATTGTAGGTTCATCCTACAATTGTAACTTGAACTTACAATTGTAGGATGAACCTACAATTGCAGGGGTGCCTTAGTCACAAATAGGTGATTCTGAGATATTGCGGTTTATTTTTGATTATGAAATATTACACAAAATATTATGAAGAAAATGTGTGTTGTATTGTATGCTTTGTGATAAGTGGATTGGACTTTCATGATTAAAAAAGAAAAAACGTTTTATATCAAAAAAATATATAAATAATTTGGGACTTTTTGTGTTGAAATGTTTTTATTTTGTCAAAAATTAAGGGATATTTTGAGGAAAAATTTGTTTATACTTAAAAAAAGGTTTATTATATTATATCGCCGTAAAAAAATATATAAATTGTGAACAAAACTTAAGACTAAGACTAGAGATGTAAAAAAAACGGTTTTTTTTAGATGTGAAAAAAAAAACATGAAAAAAAAACTCGAAGAAAAACGGTTTTTTTTGTTTTTTTTTCAAATCTGCTACAATAAAGCATATTCTGTCAATAAATAACATAAATCTAAAAAAATTGAGTTATTTTTCAAAATGAAATTTTGGTTAAATGTATATTAATAATAAAGTGAAAGGTAGAATATATTTCATTTTGACTGAGACTAAAAAATCTAATTTCTTATTATTTGGTAGTTTCCACATAAGAAACCAATATCAATGTAAAACTTCTACACTAATGGAAAAAATTAAAGAATTAAAAAAATTCCAAATTTATTGCGATTTTTCGGATAGCTGTATCTTCGTTAAAAATGGTCGTATTGGAGCCGTAAAAAAAGCAATTTGAAGCTTGAAGTTTCCAATTTTTAGATGAAAAACGTGCAACGCTCAATCCTAACGAATACCGTAATAAAAAAAATTTTGATTTTTTTTGGCTTTCTTTTTTGGTCCACGGAATGTTCTGACTAAACCACCAATGAATAAATATTCTACAAAAATTTGCTATTGTTTTAAAAAAAAAATTCATACTCTACATTAATTTTTTTGGTAGCCTTTTGAAAAATCTAAAATATTATAGGTAGTTACTTTTTTTAGTCATTTAGTAGCTTATTTTAGTCCATGAACTAGACTGGAAACATAAAAAATTAGGTAAATGGGACTAATCTTGAAAAAAACCATAAAATGTGAAAAAAAAACCATTTGAAAAAAAAACAATGAAAAAAAACCTAAAAAAACAAAAAAAACGGACCGTTTTTTTTCAAGTCGCATCTCTAACTAAGACATAACTTAAAGCAAAACTAAGAATATGTATTTAGAACTATAAAACTGATTTTTTGAAATAGTTTTTCAAAATTTTATCTTGTGGACTTATACTGTTCTTAATCTCACCGATTCAATTGTAGGATAGAAATTTCAAAAAATAAAGTTAGTAACATTTTGTTGACCCTTCTACGAATTCATAAGTTTCGGTTACTTGTAAGTACCTGTAGGGTTGCATTTTCATCCAAAGGATAGTTTATTCAAATTTTTGTAACATATTTTGTTTTTTTTTAGATAATTGCCAAACACTACAATATAAATTCTATGGACCTGCATACATATATGTATTTTCCCAATATTGAACTAGAAAATTCATTAAATATCAATGGTTGTTGTCTGTGATTTTAAAAGTTATAAATATTGTTTATTCTATAGTCAAAAGGTTTTTAATTTTTTTCTTATATTTATATATTTTGGCGACCTATTTTTGCAATACATATTATCTCTAAGGGTACTACATACTACTGTATTAATTTTGTACCTTTATATTAACCCTAAAATAAATAAACATAATAAATCATATTTATCTTTTATTGTAAATCAACACTTATTCCACGAATACCTTAAAAAAAAATCAGGGTAAAGTAAATGGTTTGGATCTTAATATGTACACTTGTATGAATTAGGCTACCAAATTCAATTAAAAATTATTTTCTATACCACATCGACAAGGTATTCATTCTTTTGACTTTCTTTTGCAACTGGAGGACGCCGTAGAGCAGGGCTTCGGCGGTTGGCGGACATCCGGGAACGTAAATGTCAACCGGAATAATGCGGTCACAACCCCTATAAAACAAATAAATAACTTACGTTAGTATTAAATTTACAGACAAATTTTATTAACGAAAAATTGTAAAAAAATAAGTTACGTCACTTTTTCACTCTGCCCTATGAAAATGTTTTTGCAACTTTTGAAATGTTATTGATAAAAAAATAACTTAATGAAAACGTGATTTCTAGATGAATATTTTTATATACATATATATTAGGGTGTCCCTTATTTTTATTTTTTTTACGCATACCCTCTAATTATATTTATTACGTGTTCCCAGTAAAAATTTCAGCTCATTCTATAAACGGGAACCCGTGCCGACTTGCATCTGAACCCTCCGTTAGCCAACGTTAGGCGCGCGGTATTTTGTAACACGGTTGGTCGCGAGGTCTTCGATAAGTCATTTTGTGTTTGTTATGTGACCCTTATATTATAAATTATTGACAAATGTTAAAATATAGTTTTATTTATGTGTATACTTTAATAAAAATGTATATTTTCACTGGGAGTGGCTAGTTACCCGGAAGGGTCTGGTGAATAGGCCGTAAACTCTGAAATTGATAAACTTAATGGGTTTTACTCTAAATAACTAAAAGAGTCTATTGTGAGAGATGACTACCGAAAAATTATTGAACTGTCTGAAATATTTTTGGGAGGACATCAAGAAAAGAAATGCTTATAAAAAGCTGAAATTTCATATAACAGTATATTTTAGCAATACTAATTAGTATATTAATATATTTAAGGGATAAAATCAACTAAATTAGTGAAACAAATGATAGAAACAAAAGCAATAATATTAATTAGTAATCATATTTAATAAAGTCATGAAGTATATCTTCTTTTTAAAGTGTTTCGTGTTACAAAATACCGCGCGCCTAACGTTGGCTAACGGAGGGTTCAGATGCAAGTCGGCACGGGTTCCCGTTTATAGAATGAGCTGAAATTTTTACTGGGAGTATATAAACAAGTATTAAATATAATTAGAGGGTATGCGTAAAAAAAATAAAAATAAGGGACACCCTAATATATATATTAAAATAAAGTAAAATTAATAAATCAATAAATAATATTTTCTTATTTCGTGACAATATGTATATATAACATTTAAAATGTTCACTAAATAAGTGGGTGGTCAAATAGAATTAACGAAAAGATAACATTATTATTTATTATATTTTATTATTTTTTAATAAAACGTTATTTTTAAAAGTATATACACTGCGCGTCAAAATTAACGCATAATAAGTAAAAAAATTCTAAAAAAACTCTAAAACGCCTTTATGAAATTTTGTATAAGAATACTTATATCTCAGTTTACGTGTTCGAGGGTTTTTCGAGAAAATATTTTTAAAGCCCTTTTATTTAATAATAAAAAAACGTTCAAAAAATAACTTTTAGGGAAGTAAATAAAAAATATGCTTTTAAAGACTGTATTTTTGTTAGTACACCCTGAAAATTTTGTACAAATCAAACGAACAGTTACGAAGATACAGCGCTTGAGTAAAGTCGGTAAAAATGACCCCTTTTTGATTATTTTGCTGAAAAGTGGTCATTTTTGACGACTTTGAAGCGCTGTATTTTTGTTACTGTTCGTTTGATTTGTACAACATTTTCAGGGTTTACTTACAAAAATACGGTATTTCACAGCATATTTTTTATTTATTTAAAAAAATTCCATATAAAAGTTTTTTCGAGCGTTTTTTTATTATTAAATAAAAGGGCTTTAAGGATATTTTTTCGAAAAACCCTTGAACACGTAAACTGAGATATAAGTTAAAGTATTTTTATCCAAAATTTTATAAATATTGATAAAGGCGTTTTAGAGTTAGATTTTTTTTACTTATTATGCGTTAATTTTGACGCGCAGTGTATTAAATTATTTTTTTAATATTATCTTACATTATAGTCGTGTTTTTCCATATTTAATTAATTTCAATGTCAATATATTTGCAAACAAAAATAATTTATAAATAAATGATAATGATAATAATAATGATAATTATCCAAATTTGGTATTGGATATCTCAGAATCTATAGAAGCTAGAAAGGTTAAATTTGGGCAAAATAGGATGTATTTTAAGTTTTAAAGAACATTGCTGAAGTAGTTTATGGGTTACCATGATGATATCTACCCTGTTTTTGCATAAGATATCTCAGAAACTGAACAAACAACCATCGAAAAAGGCGTAAGATAAATAAATAATAAACTAAATATGCAAGAAGACAAATAACATAAACAAGTTGAGTGTGAATAGCAGTATTGCCAGATGTAAAAGTTGAAATTAACGAATTGGGTAAATAAAATTATCGAATTTTCGGAATTAAGTTACAATAATTGTAATAATTATGTAACAATAATTATTATAATTTAATCATAAAAAAAAAGTAAAAGAGAAAGAAGCGAACTTTTAGAACCTAAAATTTGTAAAAGTAAAAAAAAATACCCCACTGGGAACTGCCTTATCGCAGCGATTGCGGCCTTACGCTCGGCACGAGTGATGGGCTCCTCCGCGGGGGGGTGCAGCCTCCCGTGGCCTATACGGGGGATGGTCTACACGGCGGTAGTCGTAGCACGATTGCCGTTGTGTGGATTGTCTTCCGGGGGGGCCGCGGGGGGTAGTATTTCTTTGCGGGGGAGTTTATCATGTGTGCCGATTATCGTACCAATGGGAAAAACCATTACCAAAAGGGTAAGAGTAGCCCAATTAAACACTGGGTCCACGTCACTCGTAGACAACGCAACAACATACTACAAGCCACCCTTAAACTAGATCTTAAAGACAAAAAAAATCGGTAGACCATGCTTCACATTTCATGACACGTAGCACAATACATGCACTTCTCACAAAGTAACAAGACCAGTTGGGAGCAACTAAACAACAATAAAAATAAAATAAAAAACAAAAAAAAAAACAACAGACACACTTTACCAAGTTCAGGAACTATCCGACACGGATAATGACAATAATGAACAAGACGAAGACCTCGACTAGGAAACTACACCCCTGCAGCGTAATAACAACTCCCCAACTCCAAATAGTAATCCCAAATGTTTGGAGTAATACTAACCGACTGGTCTAGGGGGATTCCGCGTCGTACTTAGTTTTAAGTCGGCGTAATTGTCCCCCAAAAACCAACTCCCTCCCGTCCCTCATCCATACCTCACTGAGCGTATAGCATAGGCCCGGCGAACCCGGGAACGGCTATTATAACTATTCGCCTCTCGCTCTCGAGCCCCAAATAGGGGACAGTACAAAACGCAATGGACATTCGCACCCAGCAAACACGGGTGAAGCCGTGCAGTTGCTGGGGAAGAACAAAAATCGGCGTAAGTAAACATAGGCCTGTACGGGGTTTAAGAGTCAAGAGGAAATGGGGCTGGTTATACGTCTCTTATACTCATACTCATACATATCTCAGAAACTGAAGAAGCTAGAAAGTTCAAATTTAGGCAAAACAGGATGTATACTAGGGTGGGTCGATTTTTGAATTTTAAAACGCCTGTGTCAGGAAAAGTTGTGTATGGGACTAAAAGAAATGTAGGTATTTTATTTTTTTTTTAATTTAAAATTTAACCCCCCCGCCGGCCCTTCAAAAATTATAAAATAAAAAAATTCAAAATCAAATTTGCCTGTACTAAAAATGTTTTCGTAATTGTTGTTTATAAACGCAAAATAATATATTTTTTTAATTGGAATGCATTAACAGCCCCCGCCCGATTTATTTATAATATTTAGACGTATGTATTTTTTATTATAGTTTTACTATTATTGTATTTTAATCACCTTTTTGTATAAATTAAATATTTAATATTATAAAATATAAAATTTTAGAAGCCGGTCCTGTAATCCTATAATTATTTAAAAAACGATTTAGTCCGGGCCTGTTCACAGAGCAAGTCACTTGGCTCTGTAAACAGGCCCGGGCTAAAACGTTTTTTAAATAATTATAGGCCCAAGTGTCATCTGTGTTTTCGTTGATTAATACGGAGGTGTTAGTGTGCTTATAAATCTGGTAGTGTAAAGTTATTAGTTCTTCGACAATAATTTTAGTACGTTTTTATTTTCAATTATAAATATGGCGGCGGGCGTAAAGCGTAAGGTTTCTACTCGGCAGTCGTTTCGCGATCCCGTATTTGGTGAACCTCGTGACTTAAGTGAAACGGTACCGCCGTGTTATGGAGATGTAATGCGGTATTTTCTATTTGTACAAAAGAATTTAAGTGGACACACCAGTAAAAATAAAACTGTTGCTGAGATTTCCAAACTGGTAGTTGACAAGGTAAAAATAATTTGGTGGAAAGCCAGTTTGCCTACTATATCAAACCAGCAATGTGTTGCACTACTTAAAAAATATCACAAACAATTCATGGATCTTAAAAAATCTCTAAAGAAAACAAGTAGTTATGCCCGAAATAAATTACAATGTTTCCAAAATGAATCGAATAAAAAGCTTTTCGATATTTCGACATGCAAATGCAAAGAACTTTTATCGTGTGCTTGTGTCAAGTTAAAGAAGGTCCCTAAATTAGAACATGAATTTTTAAAAGATCAGAGAACCACAAGGATAATGTTTATGGGAAAAGTGGATCCCAAAAGCACTAGAGTTTTAAAGCAAAGGCTAGAAAGAAAAGGAGAAACAGCTAGCTGCAGTGGTTTGAAGTCCGAGGCAAAAACTCAACCTAACGAAGTTTTTTCAGACTCATCAGCGCAAAAGACATATCACTTGCCCTACCGTCACTTGCAAAAGCAATAGATCGAGCAGGATTATCGAGTCGTAAAGGTGCAATGATAGCCAGTGCAGTCCCTGAGGATGTTGGTTTAATCACAAAAAGTGACACATCTTACGTAATCGATAAGTGTAAATTGGATCGCCAAAGAAAAAGAGCTCGGCTCGACTTACAAAAAAAAAATGCAGAGGACGGCAAAATTTTACAAGCCCTTTATTTTGATGGACGCAAAGACCGCACCTTCCACATAAAAAAAAGCAAGAAAGCACATCATCTAGAAAAACTGTTGTTGAAGAGCATGTAGTTTTAATCCAGGAGCCTGGTAGCAATTATTTGGGACATGTAACACCTGAAAACGGGACGGCTAAAAAACTTGCATCAAGTATTCTTAGTTATATTGACAAAGCTAGTATCTCTACAAGCGTCTTTGGCTGTCTGTGATGAGAAAAATAGGGATGGTTGGATACGTACAACAATAGAGTCCAGAAAGAAAATGCCCAAATTTAGTACAAAGTCAGAATATGTGGTGAGCACAGAATAATCTAAAATGCCCACATGGAAGGGTGGTTGGGCGGGCAGGGGTGGAACTCGATGGCAGCCACCTCCCCGTGGTGAGTTCTGGGTTATTTTGAGTTTAAGTATTGCTCAAAATAATAATAATAATAATTTTGTTAATTTTAAACAAATTATTTACATTTTTGGATGTGTGGCGGGGGGCCTAAATGTACTTTAAATTTGAAAAAAAAAATTTGAGGACTCAAGAGACCCAAATAAAACATTCCCCAACGCAGGCCTATAATTTTTTTAATATTTATATCTTTTTATTTTTGGGGGCCCGGCGGGGGGTCTAAATTAATTTTGTAAATTGAAAAAAAAATATTTTTCAAAATAAAAGCCCAACCTACAACTTTTCCAACCACAGGCGTTCTAATTTTATAAAAAATACTAAAAAACGACCCACCCTAATGTATACATAGTTTATTACGTATTTTAAATTTAAAGAACATTTTTGAAGTAGTTCATGAGTTACCACCTATTTTACATGATGATATTTATCCAGTTTTGGAGTAGTATAGCTCAGAATCTGGAGAAGCTAGAGAGTTCAAATTTAGGCAAAATAGGATGTATACATAGTTTATCACGTATTTTAAATTTAAAGAACATTGTTGAACTAGTTCACGAATTACCACATGTTTTACATGATATTTATCCAGATTTGCTATTGGATATCTCAGAACCTAGAGAAGCTAGAGAGTTCAAATTTGGGCAAAATAGGATGTATACATAGTTTATCACGTATTTTAAATTTAAAGAACATTGTTGAAGTAGTTCAAGAGTTACAACATATTTTAAATAATGATAATTATCCAGTTTTGGGATTGGATTTCTCAGAAACTGAAGAAGCTAGAAAGTTCAAATTTGGGCAAAATAGGATGTATACTTAGTTTATCAAGTATTTTAAATTTAAAGAACATTGTTGAAGTAGTTCATGAGTTACCTCCTATTTTACAGAATGATCATTATCCAGTTTTGGGATGGGATTTCTCAAAAACTGAAGAAGCTAGAAAGTTCAAATTTGAGCAAAATAGGATGTATACATAGTTTATCACATATTTTAAAATTAAAGAACATTGTTGAAGTAGTTCATGAGTTAACACCTATTTTACATAATGATAATTATCCAGTTTTGAGATGGGATTTCTCAGAAACTGAAGAAGCTAGAAAGTTTAAATTTGGGCAAAAGAGGATGTATACATAGTTTGTCACGTATTTTAAATTTAAAGAATATTGTTGAAGTAGTTCATGAGTTACCACCTATTTTACATCATAATAATTATCCAGTTTTGGGATAGGATTTCTCAGAAACTGAAGAAGCTAGAAAGTTAAAATTTGGGCAAAATAGGATGTATACATAGTTTATTACGTATTTTAAATTTGAAGAACATTGTTGAAGTAGTTCATGAGTTACCACCTATTTTACATGATACAAATTATCCAGATTTGCTATTGGCTATTTCGGAATCCGGAGAAGCTAAACAGTTCAAATTTGGGCAAAATAGGATGTATACTTACATAGTTTATTACGTATTTTAAGTTTAAAGAACATTGTTGAACTAGTTCACGAATTACCACATATTTTACATGATGATATTTATCCAGATTTGCTATTGGATATCTCAGAATCTGGAGAAGCTAGAGAGTTCAAATTTGGGCAAAATAGGATGTATACATTAGTGTTTCAAAAAAAATTAAAATTATGTTTTTTTCTAATGGTGTTGAAAAATTAATAGTACATTAAAAAACAAAAATTTTGGCGCATATTTGAGCCCTTAATATTAATATTAAGGTTTGCCTCAATTCATTTGTAGTTTTTCCATTTCAATAACACGGGAATTTTTATTTTTTTAATTTTGAATTCTTATAACTTTGGAATGGTTTGTTTTCGCAACACCCCAGCGAAAGGTTTTATAGACAATTTCACGCTCTACAAAAAACATCTGAAGGTCAAAGTTCTTCAGATCAACCGTTTCAAAGATATCAGCGATCAAAAATAACACTAATGAAAAATTTCAAATATTTTCAAATAAAATACAAAAATAGTATCATATGCCATATTTATATTATTTTTTATGTAAAATCACTTTAATTCTGTTAACCTGAGACTGTAAACTTTTTTTTATTTAATATTTGAAATTTTTTATTAGTGTTATTTTTGTTTGCTGATATCTTTGAAACGGTTGATCTGAAGAACATTGACCTTCAGATGTTTTTTTGTAGAGCGTGAATTTGTCTATAACTCCTCTCGCTTGGGTGTTGCGAAAACAAACCGTTCCAAAGTTATAAGAATTCAAAATTAAAAAAATAAAAATTCCCGTTTTAAGGAAATGGAAAAACACAGTTCCATCACACAAGTAGTTCATGAGTTACAACATACTTTACATAATGATAATTATCCAGTTTTGTTATGGGATTTCTCAGAATCTGGAGAAGCTAAACAGTTCAAATTTGGGCAAAATAGGATGAACCTATACATAGTTTATCACGTATTTTAAATTTAAAGAACATTGTTGAAGTAGTTCATGAGTTACCACCTAATTTACAGAATGATCATTATCCAGTTTTGGGATGGGATTTCTCAAAAACTGAAGAAGCTAGAAAGTTCCAATTTGAGCAAAATAGGATGTATACATAGTTTATCACGTATTTCAAATTTAAAGAACATTGTTGAAGTAGTTCATGAGTTATCCAGTTTTGGGATGGGATTTCTCAGAAACTGAAGAAGCTAGAAAGTTCAAATTTGGGCAAAATAGGATGTATACATAGTAGGGTGGAGTGAAACTTTTTTTTGTATTAATTTTTAAAGCCTATACATGCAAAAGTTGTATTTGAAGACAAAAAATTTGTGTGCAAAATTTAAGTTACATTTGACGTCATCTTCAGGTTCCTAGACAACGCTAAAGTTTTAAAAATTAATAAAAATTTGGGTGGGGCTATGCCTAATCCGTTAAACTCATTTCAAATATTAAGAAAAACACGAAATCAGCATATAATAAGAGATGTCTTGAAAAGCTAAATCTATTTAAAATTGCTAACCGAAAGCTATTTGATATTTCGTCTTGCAAATGTGAAGATTTCTCTCTTTGCCTTTGCGTAAATAAAATACCACCATCACAACGCGAATTTTTAGTTGACCAAAGAACAGCACGGAAAATGGCGATTGGAAATATTGATATAGAAGCCACTAAAAAGAATAAGAAAAAGTAAAGAAATATAAAGAGACAAAAAAACTGACTTTTATTGAGGATGTAGGAGACAGAACAAGTTCAGATGATGGTAAAAATAAAGTAAGTACTTATTCTAGTGATGAGAATTTGGAAATTTCTTCAGAAGCTTCTACTTATACATCAAAGATATGTCCTAAAACGCAAGCCAGAATAAAACTACCACATTTAGCTGCAGCTTGTGACAGAACAGGTATTTCCGACAGGTCGGCGTCAATTATAGTAAGTTCTGTTATTCGAGATATTGGTGCTATTTTTAGGCAAGATAATTCAAAAGTAATTTAGACGAGAAAGAAAGAAATTCCGTACACATTTTCAAAATACTTGCTTTAGAGATATTGAAATGAGTGGAATTTAAAGAGGAACACGTTGTTTTAGTTGCTGAGCCAGGAGATAAGTACTTGGACGTTGCTCTAACATCGGGAGAAGCTAGCAGTATTAAGACTAGTATATTAAACTTTTTGGAAAATAGGTATATTGAAAACTGATTTGCGAAAAATTTTGGTTGTTGGTTGTGATGGAACTGTGGTTAACACGGGACTGAATAACGGTTTAATAAGACAAATTGAGACTGCTATAAGTACCCAATTTAAACTTCAATGCCACAGACTATATCGACTTAATAGACTGGAAAACAATCACTATAAGTGAACCACCACTAACAAGACAAATATCAAATGAGACGTTGCAAATGATGATTTTGGATGTATCTGAGACAATCAATATAACAAAATATCCCTCCCATACACAAGCAGTTGAAAGATGTATCAAGTTGGTGACAGAAGCTTCGGCTTCAGTCTGCGGACGAGAATCAAGAGACGGATTTATACATGCAAAAATCACATCTCGACAAAGTTTACCGCAGTTTGAAACAAAGCAAGATTTTGTTAAAACTCTTGGACAATGAACTTTCTTTTAGGGACTAATTTTTAAGGTTGGAAACTACTGATTTATTTTTATTTTCATTCAAAATAGAAACTTAAAAAACCTATTTTAGGAGAATCAAATTTTAATGAATTGTTTTTGGTAATTAAATGAAACTTTTTGTTATACCTATAGGAAAAATAAAAAAACATTTAAAAAAATCGTTTTTTTTTAAATATAGGAACCTCAACACCCTATTTCTGTGACCTCAAATTTTGGAGGTTTACTCAAAAGACCCAAATGCAACTTTCTGTTATATAGGCAAAATCAAATTTTTATTTTTTCATCAAAATTCACTCCACCCTAATACATAGTTTATCACATATTTTAAATTTAAAGAACATTGTTAAAGTAGTTCATGAGTTACCACCTATTTTACATAATGATAATTATCCAATTTTGGGATGGGATTTCTCAGAAACTGAAGAAGCTAGAAAGTTCAAATTTGGGCAAAATAGGATGTATATATAGTTTATCGATTATTTTAAATTGTATGTACATTTTTCAAGTAGTTTACAAGATGCTGAGGAGAAATGAAAAATGTCTTTTCTACTATTTCAAACAAACCTACCTTACGACAGAGTATGAATAGTGGTAATATCCGCCACCATTGGCGCAACTGCCCATTGAAACAACCCATCTAGGCTCAGGCATTTGATCGTAAACTTTTCTTAAAGCAGGTGCCATTTTATTTGTTAAGGTACCGGCCACCAAAATCACATCAGCCTGACGTGGAGACGCACGAAACACGACACCATACCTAAATAAAGTGTTAATTTCTGTGATATTTTTCTCAAAAACCTCACCTGTCCATATCATATCGAGGTGCAGCGATGTGCATCATTTCCACAGCACAGCAAGCCAAACCGAAGGTGAGGGGCCATATCGAACCTTTTCTGCCCCAATTCAACAGATCGTCCAACCTGGCGAAGGCGTACTCGGCCAAGTTGTTCTTGTCTTTGGTGTGAGGGGACCATGGCCGAACTTCTTGCTGCGTTGCGGGCTGCGTAGACTGATTTCTCTTCAACTGTACATTTCCGAAACCCCCCACAACACTCCTTAAGAGGTTTGTGTTCGATAAGGAATCCTTACAAGGGACTAAAGCACTGCGCAGCATCTAAAAATACAAACTCTTGATTTTGAGGTTATGCCACTTAAAGACCTATTTATTATACGTTGATTATTAAGTAAATACCTTGTATATTTTGTTGTTTTAGCGCAGTGTTTTTGTATTTTATGACAGATTTACGTAATAAACACAAGTGAACGAACTATAGGGACATTTCAGAATTGATTTGACGTTTTGGTGACGTTTAAACGCCATCTATGTCACTGCACGCTTAAGAAGAAAACTGTAATTTTATATACTGTTTTGATATTCGTAGATAGATGGCAACAGCTTTTTTTTAATAAAGCGGAAAAATCTGGGATTAAATACTTTTTCTTTCAATATTTTAGGGTAAATAAAACAAAATATTTCTAATGAAAAGTTTTATGTATGTATATGTATAAATTGTGGAAGCTTTAATATATCAATATCATGTATCAATATTGAGTTGAAGTTTGGACATTCGTTCATAGATGGCAGCACATTATTAAAAATATATAAGGCGCGAAATTTAAAGACATGAATCACCTTTTTCTTTTATTTAATAAAGAAAGTGCTAATATTTGAGGATAAATAAATAAAACAAAGTATTTCTAATGAGTTCTTATATTTAGTATCATAAATTGTGGGAAGCTATAATATTTACAAGCAAAAATATGTACAATAGCATTTTTCCATTCCTGTTGACCCTGATAATAATTTTGGTGGCCGGTGGCGAGAATTAATGGTTTTCGCACCATCCAAAATTTTGATTTTCCCATTTTAAAGAAAGTCAGCACCATTGTGTCAAAATTAACACTTCTATTTTACAAGATTGTAAGTAATAAAATATTTTGTCCAATGTGTTCTAGTCTATAGAAAACATTTCTTTTTTTAATGTATTTATTCAACTTATGCATAAAAGACATAAAAAATATTGCTGTCTTACAGTGCAAACTTAAAAATAACCTAATAATTTACAAATAAATATTTATATAAAATACTTAAGTTCAAGATGTAAGAATTAATACAGTAAAAACGATTGACACTTTAAAACAAGTGATAAATTGACGATCGTCACTATTATTCAGTAAAAACAACGCTAGTGAATAAATTGTCAAGTTATCTATAAAAACAACTGAAATGCTATCATAGAAAATTTAGAAAAACATAAAAATGTGTAAATATAGAAAATTTTTTAAATATAGGTAAATACTTTTTAAATTGACTAGCATTTCATATTAATGAAAAACAGCAAATGAAAATATAAAAACTTAATAAGTAGCACTATATTTAAGTTTGTAAGCGTATGTATATCTGTAATGTTCACCAAAAAATACATTTAGTAAGTGGAAGATTTATTTTGAAGACAAAACTCTGTTAAAGCCATCATATAATCTAAAGACTACTATTTTTCTCCTAAGTACTAGTTTTTTTCATTTGACATTGCACATTTATTTTTTTGAAGTCTGCAACAAATATTTTTTGCAGATTGTCATTCTAAATTACAAAAAGGTGTGCCTCAAGGCACTATTCTGTAACCCGCTACGTTTAAGATTAACATCGATAGGGAAAAAACGTTTTATTATTATTTAACCTTTTATGTGGTTATTTAGAATGATTTTTTTCTCAAAATTCTTGCCAATAGTTGTAGTCATTATTAGGTCCAATTTGATTTAATTGATAAGTCTTTATTTTACAGTATGTTAGGCACCACTTTGCTCAGTCCAAAATTTCGTAAATTGATTGTTTTTTTTTTGTTTTGTTTTTTTAATCGCAAAATTTAATCAAAAATGGTCGCCAAAATTTCAAAACAGACCCGAAATGACTGCCTATTGGTCGAAATATCAAAATATATATACTTTATACTCTTTCAATAAATTATGTACATTATACTTAAGCATAGAGGACACTACAAATTTTTCCTGATAGAAATGGTATACACTTAGTATATAGATATATAAATACAGGATGTAATATAATTGGGCCACCCTGTAGATCATAAAACACCAAGTTCTACATTTAAATGCTTACAATCTAAATTGTACTAATTTTTATTAATATTTTTTATGTTTAAGTATGCCACAAGGTTCACATACGTGGCCAGTTAGCTTTAGACACTCAATAAATGACTTTTACATAATACGCCTCCACCTTTTTTTCGAAATAATATCACTGTGCAAGTTTCTTACAACAAAATTAACTGGTTTATAGCACCAAACATCACTACGTAAAAATTAACATTTTATATGTCGAAAATCGTCAAAATCGAGTTTTTTCTTTAAAATACTAATTTTTGGACTTACTTAAAACTGTTCCGCCTTTTTAAAGATTCAATTATTGCTTCTTTCAGATTGCTTTGCTGTCAATCTGTTTCCTCTTTCGAGAAGGGTATCCCCGGCTCCATTTTGAGGTTCTTGGTGCCGGGGTCGTAGTACCCGGCCAGATAATAGATGTCGTTGTTGTCGTAGATGGTCGCATAACGTTGAGGATCGTTACCCAGCCTGTCTCGATACTCTTTTAAGGGTACAACTTCGCACCGATGGGATATGGTTTGCACGTCGTTTTCGTCCGAGTGGGGGGATTCGAACAGGGCCCCCTGAAAAAAATGAATAATTTGTGTTAGAATTATGTTTATACTTAATTGCCGGAACTTATAAATTAAAACTAAGTATAATTTTCTAAACATCAATAGTAGGGTTTGGCAATAGGATTGGATGAAATTGGATAAATTATGAAATTTTTGAATGACACTAAGCTAGTAAAATGGAAAGCATAGAATGAGGAGCAAGAAATTTGCCATCTAAAAGCCTAATAGCATCTATATCCATTATGAAATCTACCAAGAGATTTATATTAACTAAAATATAGACAAAAATATTGGGATATCACCCAGTAAGCACCAAACACTCGGCAAACAGTCGGCCTTCGCTTGGCATAGGCGGTTGACCGGCGGTTTGGCTTGCCCCAGCCGGCCCGCTTACGGCCCGCGTTGTGTTACCCCGGTACCGTTTAGCCATGTTTTAACCTAAGTCGACCAGAATGCCGCTGCAAAATCCTTCTGCTTGCCCTAGCCGGCCGGCTTACGGTTGAAATACGGCCTGCCGCGGCATAAGCGATAAATATCACGGCTGCTTACGCACGCGAGCTAACTATAAATAGCGATTGGTTGCAATATTTAGTTGGAAGTGTGTGTCCGTAATGGCATAGCTGAACACCCAGATAGCACAAAGAAGTACTAAAAACGTCCTGAGTATATCTTGTATCAGACATTAGTAAGTTCCGAGTACGTCCGAATCAGGTCCTGAACCTTCCCCAGGACGTTCCAGGGACATCCGATGTTACCAAATCGTCGGTCCCCAGAACGTCCTAAGAAAGACATCCTCTGGCCATCCTGAAATGCTTTATTGGGGACTAATGGACAAGCTTTACAGAATTGAAGAGTGGTATTCCCAAAGGCCCAGACAGCAATATGACGTCTTAATTAAGACTTATTTTAAATGGATTTTATTAAAATCATTTTAATAATTTGTTCGTATTCGCTTATTTTAGGAATTGCGATTACTTCGTCTCACTTTTGTTTAAATTTAAAGCGTGCTCTTCACCGGCACCGATAGACGGCCTGTTACCCTCTTTTGGAGCTCGTCAGTATCGGGTAGCCGTTTACCTAGGTCCAAGACCGTTTGGTACATAGAAAAACCATATGGTTTGGTATGAAGCACGTTTTAAATTCTACTTCGCCCCTTCTTATATCAAACACAAGCAGTTACAGCGGTGAGAAGAAAGAATCGCATTAAAATGTCATAAATGTGACGTCTCCATGATGACGTCTTAAAAAGTTAATAATATGTACAAAAAAACTCATACAGCTATATTGTGGCTGTGTGAATAAAACTTTTCCGTCAATGTCAAGCTGACATCGAGCTTTGTCACATCCATTATGACTTTTTTAACATTTTTAACCAAACAATGCATAAGAACTCTGGCAAGCCATTGAAGCCATTTGGAACGAGATAAAGCAAGACGGCGACTTCCATGCTTTGCCGTTTGCGGGCAGTAATTGACAAGAACAGAGGGATGACGAAATATTAATTTTTTTTTCAAACTTCAACCTAACTTTGTATTTAATTTTAGACCTTTCAAATGTGACGTATCATGTTAAAAGCCATAATTACTCCAACGAAATGATGAAAATCAGGAACACTAGATTTTTAAGCTGTATGAGTTTTTTTGTTAGCGATAGTACGTCCTTGGGACGTACCCAGTATATCCGCTATAATTTTCCCAAATAAGTAAGAGACTGGACGTACCCAAAACTTCCGATATAGGTCTAGGACGTTCGGACCTATGTGGGACCCGAAATGGACGTCCTGGGTACCTCTTGTGCTATCTGGGCATTAATTGTTTGGAGTCCCCATCTCCATCCTAATCTGCTCAGTAACGAATAATGTCTATCTATCTTGCCATTCAGAGAATTTAAGAACTGAACTTAAAGGATATACCTCTCCAGACCTCTCCAGGACGTCTATAGGCTTTTTTTAAATGGCCAGGCGGTTGTAGCCGGAACTCGGCCGAGTAAACATAGCCGACATTCGGCCAGGCGGATATGCCCGAAAGTTGGCCAGGCGGACATGCCCGTTCTACACGCCGGAAGAAATACTTGTGTCGGGCCGCACGCGGTCGATTCGGCAAAACCTATTCGGGCAGTATGCGGGCCGGCTAGCTTGTGCTTACTGGGCATTAATTTAATTTATAAATTTTAAAATTCTTTCAAAAAATAACCAAGTTATATCAAATTATATAATTTTTTGGAACGGCACCAAATGCCAGTAAAATACATAGCATAAAAGGAGGAGTAGAAAATGTATCATCTACAAGCCTAATATTATCTATACACATAAAATCCACCAAGATATCTATATTAAATAAATTAAAGGCAAACAACGTTGAAATGCATTTTTTATCAAAATAATTCGAAAAAAAATAAAGCGAAAAATAGACTCTAAAATTCCTTCAGAAAATAACCGATCAATTACATACATTTTAGGAAGAACGGCACCAAATTCTAGTAAAGTAGATAGCATAGAAGGAGGAGTAGAAAATGTATCATCTAGAAGCCTAATAGTATCTATAACCATTATAAAATCCACCAAGATATCTATATTAACTAAAATATAGACAAACAACTTTGAAATGATTTTTTTTAACAAAAAAAGAAATAAAGCCATAAATGGATTATCATTAATTTAATTAATTAATTATAAAATTCCTTCAGAAAATAACCGAGTTATATTCAATAGCATACAATTTTGGAAGAACGGCAACAAAATTTTATGCTATTTATTTTACTATAGCATTTAATGCTATAGTAAAATAAATAGCATAAAAGGATGACTAGAAAATTTAGCATTTACAAGTCTAGTAGTATCTAAATCCATTATGAAATCTACCAAAATTTCTATATTAACTAAATTAAAGGCAAAAAACGTTGAAACGAAGCTATAAATGGACTCTGAAATTATCATTAATTAATGAAATCAATTTTAAAATTCCTTTAGAAAATAACGAAGTTATATTCAATAGCATATTTTTTTGGAAGAACGGCACCAAATGCTAGTAAAGTAGATAGCATAGAAGGAGGAGTAGAAAATTTAGGATCTACAAGCCTAATAGCATCTATTCGCATTATAAAATCCACCAAGATATCTATATTTACTAAAATATGAGCAAAAATACGTTTAAATGCAATTTTTTGTTATTGAAAACTTAAACAAAATCAAATTATATATATCCAAATTTTTGCAAAATTAGCAAAATAGGTAGCCCAGAAGAAGTAGAAAATCTATAAGCATAATATCATGTATACCAATTATAAAATAAGCCAAGTCAACTATAGATATTAAAATGAGCAGTAAATGCAAATAGATTTTAAAAATACCAAAATAAATGGATCAATGTTCACTAAAAACTGAAAACAATGTCTATCTACAATTCTATTGCAAAACCCTGTACATACTAAATATCCGTTAAAATAAGAAAAAAATCTATTTTATGCCCCTTTTTATTATTTGTTGTTTTAAAGAAATCATGCTTCTGGTAATAGGCCCTTTTTCCACATTATTTGTTGCATATATTCAAAAAAGCTTCTTAAATGAAATAGTGCAATATCATATCATAATATGATATTATCATACATAACCAAGTCCAAAAAGTATAAAAATAACAGGCCATAATTCGCTCTAATACAAAAAGGTGCAATTTCCCTTAATATAAAACATAAACTAATGCCTAAAATGTTTTAAAAGCATGATAACTAAAAATACGTACCTGATAAGAACGTTAAAATTCTTAATTTAATCCAAAATGAAATAAATAAATAAATACCAACAGAAAAAATCTTACCAGAATCTGTTTTACATACTTATATAAAATTAGTATGCAGGGCCGTAGCAAAGGGCTGAAATATACAGAGCCCCTGTTTAAAAACCTAAAAAAGAAAGTCACTACTCCATTTACAGCCATATTTATTATAAAGGCCATATTGGAAAAACAAGTTTTAGATTTAACTTGTTCTTTTTAGGTTTATTTGCAACTACGGCCCTGGAAGTAGATACTAAAAATGGAATAAATAAATGTTGAAAATTATATTTATTCCTAAAACAGAATCTTAATTTTTCTGAAAAAAATCATCCAACACACAAATTAAACATCTCAAAATACAAGAATACTTCTTTAAATGAAAAAGTCAAACTTATAAAATCCAAAAAATATGAATATGATTAAAATGAAAATTTGAACCAATTAAAAAAAATAAATTTTGAAAATACTCAGAAATCCAAAAAATACTAAAAACCTGGTCCCATCAAATTTAAATTTACAACTTAAAAAGACCCCAAAATATTAAAAAAAAAAAAGTGAATCACCCGTAAAAACTATATTCTTTACTATTAAAACCTTGAATAAAGTGGTACTTACAGGGTACTGCAAATTTAAAGGGCACCCAACAGTCTCTTCTGGGTGATAAAACCATTTGACCTTAACAATCATGGTACCGTACATTTCCCACATGGCCTCTATCCTTCCAATATATGGTCTATCTGGTCTTCCAGTTGATAGAAACACTGCACAATCTCCAATCTAAAAAAGTTTAAATTTAATATAATATCATTTTTGAATAAAATTTCATTAAAAAAGAGGTACCTACTTAATTGTAGGAAGAATAACAAATAAAAATAAATAAATAGCATAAGAAGTAGAAAATTTAGCATCTATAAGACTTATAGAATCCATACTCAAATTTAGAATTAAGTATACAGCTTGAGCTGTTTAAGTCGAATCCATTTTACATAGGTGAATTATTATACAATAAGCTAGATCTATAGATACTTCTCTTAAAATTCAAACTTTAAATTCTTTATAACATAACTTAAAATTGATTCTTCTTTAAAAAAGCTTTTTATTCAGTCAAAGAATTTTTAAATTTTGTATTGTGATTTGTTTTGATTTACCATAGATTTTTTTGTTGTAGGTATTTAATTTATATATACTTGAATAACATAATAGTTTTTGAATTGACTTGTCTCATATTATTGTATGATCTTTAGACCAATAATTATTATTATTATTATTATAAAATCTATTAAATCTATTAAAATATCTATAGATGTATGTATATATATATTGACTAAAATATATGCAGAAAAGGTTAAACTGCAATGTTGTTGTTGAAAACTCAAATAAATTAAAGAGATTCTAAAATATCATTAATTTTACATATTAATTTTAAAATTCCTCCAGAAAATCCAATTATTTTATTTTTTGAAGAACAGCACCAAATGCTAGTAAAATACCACAAGGAGTGGACAATTTCTCTATCCTCATTACAAAATCTAATAAGATATATTGACTAAAATATATGCCAAAAATGCAATTTTATTGTTAAAAATTCAAATAAATGAAACAGATTCTAAAATTATCATAAATTTGACAAATTAATTTTAAAATTCCTTAAAAAAAATAAAATAACCAAAATCTATCCAACTTATACTTTTTTGAAGAATGGCACCAATAAAAAATAAAAAATAAAATAAAATAAAAATAGATGGCATAGGACGAGTGGGAAATTTAGCATCAACAAGCCTAATAGCATCTATTATAGATGCTATTAGGCTTGTTGATGCTAAATTTCCCACTCATTATAAAATCTATATTAACTAAAATATAGACAAAAAAAACTTAAAATGTTAAAAACTCAAACAAATTAGAAAGATTTTAAAATTATCTCTAATTTAAAATATTTAATATTTAGATTAAATTTTCAATTGAATAATACCTAAACTTTTGGAAGAATGCTAGTAAAATAGATAGCATAGAAGGAGGGGTGGAAAATTTAGTATCTACAATCCCAATAACATTTATGCCAATTATGAAATCTACCAAGATATATTTATTAACTAAAATATGACTTAAAAAATTTTCTAAAACAATTTTTTTGTTAAAAAAAATCAAAAAAATGGATTCTAAAATTATCTTTAATTTAAAATTTTAATTAATTTTTTTTGTAAATACAGAGTTATATCCAAATTTTCGGAAGAACAGCACCAAATGCTAGTAAAATAAATAGCATAGAAGGAGTGCAAAATTTAGCATCTAGAAGCCCAATAGCATCTATACCCATTATAAAAACTAACAAGATATGGCAAACTCAACAAATTTTAATTTTTTGACATTATTTTTATTTTTGTACCGAATTTTATTCTGTTCATCATAAAAACTGAGGGAAATATTTTAAAATATCACTTACAGTAATTGTTTCCTTTCCTCTCTGTATTGACCTATAGAAACACTTCTTGGACCTCCCTTTAGCCTTTGTTCTTTTATAACCTTTTCCAGACCAGCCCCACAGCTGATTTGCGGGCAAAAATGCACTTATCTTGCTTCTACTTTCACATGACTCTTGTCGATTTCGGATTTTCTTTGATTTCTGAAAAAGATATATCAGTTAGAATCGAAATATATCTATAACTTTCTAAATAACACATACTTTGACATCTTCAGATTCCAAAATATCATCCATGGTGACTTCGTCATCTGGGTTAGCTACCACGTGGTATTCCGGCGCGTCAATGGTGGTTTCTTCTTCTTCGAAGGTGTCTTCTTCCTCAACATCATCCTCCTCAATGGTATCCAATCTTTTACTATCGACTTCAACGGTTTTTACATCTTCCCGCTCTTTATCGTGATGTTTCTTGTGCTTCTTATGCTTCTTGTGATGCCTCTTGTGCTTGCAATGCTCCTCCACGCACTTGTGCTTCTTCCGTTTTTTCTTGTCGTCGTGCATGAGCTTCTGCTTCAATTTATCGCGCTTCTTCTTCTTCAGACGCTTCTTCGCTTCCTTGTACTCCGTGTTTTTTTCCAACTCGGTTTGTTTGTTGGAGGTTTTGTTTTCCTTGTCCAGATCCGCGCTTTTGCAGTCGCTGGGCGATTCCGGGTTGGTTGAAGATGAAGATCGGCGTTCTTCCACTGAAACGCTCGTCGAAGCTCGGCGTTTTCGCTTGCTCAAGCTTAGCAAGGGGTTTGGATCGTATTCTGCAAAGATAATTAAATTCGGCGTGCTATCTTAACATTCATAAATGCAGTTGAAATCTTACCTATGATGGGATAATCAGGAGGCAAGAACCGGATGTCCTCCAGAGCAATCCTTCCGCTGTCTCCATCATCGAACTCAACGGACACAAATTTGCCATCCAGATGGGGATCGGGAGTTCCGGGTTCGGCAACACTTCCGGGATACAGGCATCTGTACTGTTGACTCCAGTAAGCGCACAAACGGGTTCCTACTGGCAGATCGTCAGTACTTTTTGGGGATACTTCGACAATCTAAAATAAAGATACACATACCTATAAAGTATTTCGCTTTTAGTACTAAAACAATGAAAAAAATGACGAACTTTTTGGAAAAACGGCACCAAATGTTAGTAAAATAGATAGCATAGAAGAAGAAGTAGAAGTAGCATCAACAAGCCTAATAGAATCCATACACATTATAAAAATCTACCAAGATATCTATTTTAACCGAAATATATGCAAAAAACGTTAAAATGTATTTTTATCTAAATTAAATAGATTCTTAAATTATCATTAAATTTACAAAATAACAAAGATCTATCCAACCTTATACATTTTTGGAAGAACGGCAAGAAATGCTAGTAAAATAGATAGCATAGAAGGGGGACTAGAAAATTTAGCATTAACAAGCATTATAAATCCTACCAGGATATTTAAATTGACCAAAATATAGGAAAAAAGGTTAAAATGCAATTTTATTGCCAAAAACTCAAATAAATTAAAGAGATTCCAAAATTATTATTAATTTTAAATATAAATTTAAAAATTCCTTCTTTCCAACTTTATACTTTTTTGCAAGAATAGCACCAAATGCTAGTAAAATGGATAGCATAGAAGGACGAATAGAAAATGAAGCTTCTACAAGCCTAATGGTATTGATCAAAATATAGGCAAAAAAGGTTAAAATGCAATTTTATTTTCAAAAACTTAAATAAATGAAAGAAATTCTAAAACTATTTAATTTTAATTTTAAAATTCCTTCAAAAAATAAGCAAGAGCTTTCCAACTTTATATATTTTTGGAAGACTAGCACCAAATGCTAGTAAAACAGATGGCATATAAGGAGGAGTAGAAAATTTACCATCAACAAGCTTAATAGCATCCATCCCCATTATAAAATCTACTAAGATTTTAAATGCAATTTTATTGTTAAAACTCAAATAAATCAAACAGATCCTAAATTAACACTAATTTGACAAATTCCTTCAGAAAATAACCAAGATCTACTCAACTTTTACATTACATACATTTTTTGGAAGAACGGCACCAAATGCTAGTAAAATAGATAGCATAGAAGGAGGAGTAGAAAATTTAGCATCGACAAGCCTAATAGCATCTATAACCAAATGCAATTTTATTGTCAAAAACTCAAATAAATTAAAAAGATTCTAAAATTATCATTAATTTGAGATATTTTAAAATTCCCGGTATAAAATCTACCAAGATTCTATAGAACAGTATAAAATGCAATTTTATTGTTGAAAACGTAAAATTATCATTCATTTGACATAATAATTTAAAAATTATTACAGAAAATAGGCAATTTATTTCCAATTATATAAATTTTGGGAAGAACGGCACCAAATCCTAGTAAAATAGATAACATGGTAGGAGGAATAAAAAAATTAGCATTTCTGCCTATTAGTATCTATAACCGATATAAATTAAACCAAGAAAGCTATAGTGATTAATTAAAAGTGCATAATATGCAAAAAACAGTTTTTCTCCTTCTAAAAAATGCTGCTTCATTTAAAGCTGAATATTAATCACCTACTTTGAATATAGCGGAAGTAGCTTTGAAAATGACTAATTCCCTTGCGCTTATTACCGTCTTGCATTAATTTAGTACCTATATCTTGTATTTATGTCATTTAAATCGGTTAATAAATCGTCGGTGGATTCAATAAGAAGGAAATTTAGTAACATCCTGTATAATATTTCATTGTGCTCGAAGATCTTCTTATACATTAGCTCCAGTGACGTATCAACATTATTTGCTATCCTTCTAAAAAATTACTGGGTTTTGTTAAGCTTACTGTTTAGTTTATTAAATAAAATATATTGTAATAAATACTAAAAATAAATACAACTTTTAGTGGTGATTTTTTGGAACGAGTCTAAATATTTTTTACTCCGACAATCTCCACGTAGATACGCCCCTGACTTGCTCGCAAGCCCGTCTGCCATACGTCCCTTTTTTTCTTTTACTTTAAATCTTAAGAATGTTTCTTATTGTGTATTGTAGTAAAAACAAGTTTTCGACTGGGGTGATCGAAAACTCCGCAAACATTAGGTCAAATGTCAAATAACCTTCTAGTGACTAGAGTCAAAAGGATATTATATCAAATCATAAAAAAACAAAACTAAAAATCTCATCGAACTTTAATTTAAATTATATTGAAAGTATCTGTTCGTTTAAATAATATTATCCAGATGGGAAGGGCAGTTGACACACATCCGTTTAAAAATTAAACATCATGAGCTCGCTCACTTTATCTACATTTCAAATCTCGCCCGCAGTACTTTTATTTCTTACTTTACAACTTATTGCATTCTATGACTTGGCCACGTAATAACTTTAAGGAATCTCTTTAAAATGTTAAAACGATTGATAAACACTTCGGAAAAAAATAACATTAAAGTTTTTTGAGGCTTCAATCAATTGCTGGTTATTGGGGTATATTATTTATAAAAAAAGTTACTTACCGCATCCCTCAATATTTCCTCCCTGGACATAATGTGAGGCCTATTTCCTCGTTCCCCGTCCAAGGTAATGGAATAGATATCTGGTGGTTCCAATGCATTAAGGCAACCAGCGTAGAACAACCCGCCCATGGCTGTCAAAACTCTCAACTTATCGACTTCAAGCAACTCTGACGTCAAGGTACATCTGGAATCTTCAGGTTTGACTTCCTCGCAAACTTCCTCTTCGTCGTCGAGTTTTTGATCTTCCATTTCTACTGCTTCCACTTCTTTAGCTTCATCCAAGTCGATTTCTATGTGATCGACGATTTCGTCGTCTTCAGATTCCGCGTCATAATTTTCTTCATCTATGTACGCTTTAAGGGTGGTCTCTGCCCTCAACTTGGGTCGTATTTTCGACTTTTCTTCGATGTTGTTGTTGATGTTTCTAATCTTAGACTTGGGGCTTTCTTCAATGTATCTAGGAGGGCTATCACAATACATGTTCTTTTGAAGCTGTAGTTTTTCCTTTGCTGCCAAAAGATAACCGACTATGTTGTTGCTTTTAGGTTTTTTGGCCACTATTGTTTCTGTTGTGGAGTTAAACTCCTCGGAGGAGAGTTTTTTTGGTCGACCAACCTTGCGTTTTTTTGATGATGACGAAGATTCTACATCGGTTTCTATCTCTGGCAGTTTTTCAAAGGGACACAGTGTTGGCGGTTTAAGTAACTCCGACACGTTTTTGGGCTTCACAGCTTCAATTTTATCCAGCTGCGGCGGCGGTGTCAGACTTCGTTCGTGCGTGGACTTCTTCCGTTTCTTCTTCGAACATTCGTGATGTTTCTTTGGCTTCAACTTGTTCAACTGCTTCACATTCTCTCTGTATTGCCTTTGTAGATCGGCCAGCTTCATCCTCATATCCAACTCCATCGGGTTCATACACGGCCAATCTCCTTTGCAGCAATGACCGTGCGTTTTGCTTTCTATAAATTTCTTCACTTCTTGCTCGCTTTCAAGGTTCTTATACGAGTGATACTCGTCGCGTTGACATGAGCACTTGCGAACCTTTTCGGAGTCACTGGAATGTTTTCGATGCTTTTTTAGTTTTTTTCGCCGCGGTTCGTCGGACGAGTGTTTTTTCGACTTGCGCTTCTCCCGGCGACGTTCTTTTTTCTCCTTCGTTCGCACAGGTTCCTCCTTCGGGTTCTCCGTCGATTCCTCCATTATTCTTTGCTCCGCAAGAGCACACAGCAAGTCGAGACCCCCAAGACTTTCCTCTTTCTTTGTTGCCACTTCAACTGGAGGAGATTCAATGGTTTGCTGTACTTCCGGTATCACTTCTATTGCTTTTGGTTCCTCTTCGGCTTGCCGCTCAAACTCCACAATACTGTTTGAAAGCAGTTCCAAACCGCTTAAATCTGGCGTTGGTTCTTCAACTGCTACTGGTGTGGGTACCCTTGCTATGGGTTCCTCTACTACTTCCTCCACTACACTTTTAAACTGTTCCTCGTCTTCTAGTACTTCTTTGGGTTCCCCTATTACATCTGACACCATGTGAGTGGTGTTATCATCTTCACTGCATATAGGGGTGTCAGTTTGGTTGCTGGCGTCTTGCACCAAACATTCCTCCTCCTGCATGTGTACATTTTCTGGGGGAGGCGTTAGACACGCCACTGGGGATGTAGCTTGTGATCTACACGCGGTTTCAGCTGTCGGTGTTTGCGATAGAATCAAGTTTGTCGGGTGTTGGTAGATTAGATGCGTTGTCATCATGTTTGGGTCTGTATATACAGTACCAGTATTGCTGGCGATGGTACTGACGGCTTGTAGAGTCTTAGTTTGATCTAAATGATCGGTTTCGATCTTAATCAACGTCGTAGCCGGTATGGGTATTTTTCTTTTGGCATCCGTTGTAACCGCCACGAGTCTGGTACTATGCGTTTGCGTGTGCTGATGAAGAGTGGTACTGCTCGATAAGTAATCGGAGGCAGAGCTCAACAGTTGCAAAGGTGGCGGTGGGAGGCTCTGTAACGATGGCAACAGCACCGAAGGCGGCTGAGGGTAGCTAGGCCAAACTACTGCTTGCTGCAAGGATTCTGGAACGAAGAAAATGTGGTTCCAAAAATGGTACCCAAAGCATGTAACACATTTATAGAAGACTATAAAGGTGTTAAATTTCGTAACCAACTAACCTATCCCCGACGTGGTGGGTATAAGAAGTAGCCCGCCAGTGTTAGGATCCCTGATTAATTGGAACCCAGAGTGGGTGGGCATGGTTGGTACGGGAACCATCGGTTCCATTGGGATGGGCGCTGTAACACAAAACAACGATGGTTACTGATGGGCGGCAAACGATAATTTGAATGTTTGGTTGTACCTAGGCTACATCGAGAATAAATACCTACTTCATCCTTTAAAACGCCCATTATCGTACATGTTTCCATTACACTAAGTGACCTTGTAAAATTTACAATGTAAATAAAAATTTACAATATAAATAAACATTGCCAAGTTGTGGCTTTATGGCGCTTTAGTCACGGGTTAAAGTGCCTTTCTTGTAAATGGTTTCTTGGCACCAATATTTTAAAAGAGTATATGAAGGTTTGTACTGATCTTTTGGTTTAGCCGTATTAGTGCAGTTAACTAGATTTAACTATAGCGTTAAAAATTTTGCGTACAGTGCCCATAAAACACTCTCTTCTCTTTTACTGTGAAAAACTGCTTCTTTTATTTCCAAGTTTACAAATTTTTTACAATTTTTTTTTTTTTTTTACATGAGTTTTGTACTTTTATTTATATTGTATACAGTATTGTTATTGTATCTACATCCATGTTGCTTATACTTTATAGTTAGGATTAATTTATTTATTTATTACTTGTGTGTATATTTAATTGTTTCGTAATATTTACTTGTTTTGATTATTTTAACTATTTTATACTATGTTTTATAATGTTTTAAATAATTAATTACATTTTTCTATTTTAACCACAGACAAGCATATTCATATGCTTTTGTGGAATTGTATGTTTATTAAGGCTATTGTAAGGCTCTTGTAATACTATTGTCCTTTACTTAAATAAACATTATTATTATTATTATTATTATTATTATTATATCGATTGTTAGTTTATTTTAAAGGGATACATTTTGATTTACACAGAACAATTTGAGATTTGAACGCCGGAAGATTCCCAAATTAGAAACTCTAACGGGAATTCCAATAAATACTATCACTTTTTGTACCTTTAACATTTCCCCTGTAAGAATTTTTAATACTTTGTGATAATATTTTGCAATCATAGTAATAAAAAAAAGGATAAAATATTTTCTTAACATATCATATTTTAAAGTATGAATAATTAAGTTTAATTAAAATAATAACGGGCAATGTTAATGGTGAAAATTACTTCAAAAATGTTTAATGGGATGGCTTCTTTATTTTCGTATAGATGTCGCTTTATACGAATATTTAATTTAAATCAATTTTTAGATAATGTTAAGTAGGTATTTGTCATAGAAAAATTATAGTACCTATGCAACTCGTTTATAAACTTTTCTAGGCACTCTTTAAATTAAGTTCGTGACTAAAACCGCGTTTATCAAACTTGATAGGTAGGTACATAGGTAATATTACCTATATATAATATATATTACTACAATTACCTAATTAAGGTGTTTGGAAATCAATTAAATTTGCGTTAAGAATAATAATAGTGAATGTATGAATATATTATTAAATAGTAAAACGCAATATACCTATGTACCTATCGAGAATAATTGATTTTTCTTTTTGTAAAACAATATTCTATTATTAATATAGGTACAGTGTGTCTCCGGATAGGTGAAACGAGTAATGTAAAATAAAAATAAAATGAATTCAATTTTTATTTTCAGGGGTGCAGCCCTACTTGATAAAAGATTAATTTTTAACATACCTACCTAGGTAATTTCAATTTTGAAAAATCAAGTAGGTATGCCTTGGAAATATTAAAAAAATTATTATTAAAAAAAGTTGTTTACAATTAACATTTAGGCCTCTATACCAAATTTCAAACTAAAGCCGGGTCTACAATTGTCGCAGGTCGCAAATCGCAGAACAAAAGCTTGCGCAAAGCACCCAGCTGGCAAAAGAACTTTGCTCCATCGCCACGTCGCGGGGTGCTTTGCGCAAGCTTATGTTCTGCGATCGGACCCCTGCGACAATTGTAGACCCGGCTTAAGAGTTTTATTTTTTTTTACTATTTTTTGTGTACCTAGGTAAAGTGCCTTTCATATGGAATATACCTATCTACAACAAAATATTAAAAAGAAAAGTTGTTTAGAATCATATACGTATGATATACCTAGGTACCTATGATAAATATATTTTATGTCCATATATCTACCCACATGACAAAGAACGTTTTAGAAACATTTTGTTACATTCTCAAAAAGGTCACATTTTGAACGTTTAAAATTTACGTCTCAATCTTGTTTCATAGACAGTAAATATGTGCTCTCTTTTTAAATGTGTCCCATAAATGTTTCTCGGACGTCCGGATTTCTACTTGCCCTGATCAACATTTATGAGCCATTAATTTTGTGACGTTATGGGACTGTCACCACAAATACATCAACAAAACAGTAATATCGTTACGTTTAAAATGTGATGTTTATAAAACAAAATTAAATGTTCATCATTGTGACAATACTGAATTTACGTTAATTAAACAGTTCATTCTTGACGTTAAGATTAGGATGTCTCTAACACGAAATTATACGCTTGTTATTGGAATGTTATTATATTAACTTAAATAAATCCGTAAATTCGAGACGGGTCTGTCAGTCTACGTATTGCAACGACATGGTGGTTATCGTCGCATTTTTCTAATTTTTAATTTAAATTAGTGTGTTAGTGAGAAATATTAAATACAGTGTAAGTGCTCTTGGTTAGATTGAATGTTGTATTATTAAACATAAAAAATATAGATAATTTTCATTAATATTTCAAAAATAATTAGTAGGTAGGTACTTAAGTACTTAATTAAGTAGGTATTATAAAATATTTTAAAATTGTAATTAGTTGAATGCATAACTATTCATATTTAATTAGGTAAATAGTAAAAATATTTTTGTCCTTCCCTTCTTCCACAGATAGACAAAATCAATTTGTCTCCTACAAAAATCAAGGTTAAAAAGTACCTACCTACTTATACCTAGGTATACAGCAGTTTCAATCATTCATGTTCACAATTAAGTAATATATAGTACCATTTTTGTAGGAGAAACAGAGACAAATGGAGTTTTTCTATTTGTGGAAGAAGGAAAGGGCAAAAGACGCGTTGACGTTGAGGCTTGGAGCCGGTAAACGGTAGCCATTTGCTTTGTTTTTATTCTTGTGGATTCTAGGTAGTTTATAAATAATGTTCCTTTTATTTTGTGTTGTTAGTTTTTAATTTATTTTATATTATTCTTTTTTAAGAGTTTATATATATATATATATATATTAGCTAATATATACCTAGGTATTTATGTTATTTTAAATTATATGAATAAAAATTTATTTTATTAAGACGTTTTTTCATTACATCCAGGTGATTTTACCCCATGTAACATTTTTTCCGATATATAAATGTTACAATAGAAGCGTAATTGTAGAGTACAGAAATTGACGTCATAAAATCTGCTAATTCATAACAGTACAGCAACGTTAATTTTGTGACGTAACAATGTTACATCTTTGAAGGCGGACATTAGCAGTCCCCATGACGTTATTAGTACGTTTATGTTACATTAACGATAATGTAACAATGTCACAAGGGACGTTTTTGGAACGTTTAGGTTGCAAGTTCTTGCCATGTGGGTACCTACCTACCTACCAAATTTCAAATTTATTGGCCAAATTTAATTTTTATTTTTTTTCTACCTAGATTTTTACAAAATCAAAGTGGCCAAGAAATTTGAAATTTTGTATATATATATATATATATATAAATATATATATACCTATAAACTATAGATATATATACCTATAAACCTAAAATATGATTATAAACAACTTTTTTTATAATATTTTAGGTAAATATGTATATAAAGAACGCCGTGGTATATCCCATAGGAAACGCACTTTAAAGTAATTACACACAAAAAATAGTAAAAAAAATAAAAATCAAAATTGGCCAAGAATTTTCAAATTTGGTACCTAGATGTTAATTCTAAAAAACTTTTTTTTATAAATTAGTTTTTTTTTAATATTTCAAAGGCATAGGTACTCAGGGTTGAACCACCGAAAATGATAATTGATTCAAAAATTCAATTTTTTTTTGTATTTTACAAGAGTCGTTTTACCTATCCGGGGACACACTGTATAATCCAACACAGGTATGCAAATCATGTTGGTACTCACCACAACCAAGTACCACCAACATTTTCGATAATTTCTCGAGAAAAACCCTTTAAAACACTGCCAAACAATACCTACTCCCTAAAGACTACACACAAACCTATAAAAACCGGTCTAAGAGTTAAAAAAAAACCTGTCGGTTCGCACTTACCAGGGTACTGCCAGAGAGTGGGCGTGGCGAGGGCGTTTCCGTGCGCCCCGCCCAGTTGCCAGCCGGCCAATGAGGACGAGCGGTCGTCGGCGCACTGCAGGATAGTTCCGCCCATCGCGGTGGCCATGCTAGCGTTAGCCGCTTCTGAAACGCACACTACGTTAGAGAGTATTAAAAAATAAATTTCGCTGTTTTCAATAAATAATTTGCAAATTTGCAACAAACAGACGATCTCTAGCCAGCCAGAGTGTCTTACAACGTTGCCGTCTTCACAAAACAAGACCCTGTTTTTTCCTCTACCCAATGATATCACGTTTATCGGTTCAGTTAATAAGTATACAGGGTGTTTCACGTTCGTGGACCATTAAAATTCTACCTAAATTTAATAATGTCAGAGATATTTAACAATTAGTAAATACTGTTTGTAGGTATTACTTTTAAATTTTTAAAATGTTTGGCTTGTCAATATATTTTATAAGTATACAAAACAATTATTAGTCAACAAATTGTTTATAACCTGAAAAAATTGAGGCCATTAAATTTTCAACAATGACAGATTACGTGGTAACCATAGATACCGTCGACTCACCCGTCACAGGTTTCTTGATATACATAGGTACCTACCTACCTTGTTATATTTTTTATTATTTTGTACTTATACAAAATAATATTTAAAATTTTAGAAATTCTTAAATATCTCTGAAATTATTAACTTTAGGGAAATATAGGGAATAGTACCTATAATCAATCGAATTTACTATTTGATTATTTAAAAATATATATATATACCTATAGGTATCGGGTGGTACATTTAAAATACAAAAGTTATTGGTAATTTGCCCTGGGATATCCCAGGTAGGTAATTTGTTGAAAAAAGTTAAAGAATTGACAAGGAATCTTTTAAACAATGTTTTAAGATTCCAAAAATTACACCCCCGTATCCGCAAACCTACACTGAGAAAACAGTTTGTTTTTTATAAAGCAGTTTTATTTATATATAATAAATGCTTTATTGCATATAGGGTTAATAAACATCCCATTTAAATGTAATAAAGCGTTTGTTTTTGTATGTTTCTTAATAAATAATATATTTATTTTTTACTACGATCTTAAAATATTAATAATTAAAATACATTTATTAAAAGTAAAAAAATTATTTATTTAAAACAAATTTATTCCATAATGCATAAAAATAAAACCTGTTAATAATAAACAAATTTAAAGCAATAAAAATTGAATATTTATTTATTGTAAAACAATGAATTTGTTAATAAATAACAAATTTTAAATAATAAAAAATGTTTCAATATTTATAATAATAATGTATATAGTTGTTCTTCTAAATACGCCAATGTTATTTGTGTTTCCTGTCTTTAAGATCGGTCATTTGATTTTGTACAAAATGACTATTCAATTTCATGACTTAAAGTTGGTTCGTTTAAAGGGTTTGCTAATTAACGTTTGGAGTATGGACAACATTGGTTGGCCATCTTCATTTATTGTAAACAGCAGGTTGGTAGGAATCTTCTGTTAAAAAAACAACTGACGCCTCTTCTATTCTAAAATAAAAATTTGGAAATAAACAAAAAAATATATATAGCGAAGATCTCTTTAACTAAGAATATCACAACAGAATGTAATCATTGCAATGATGCATTAAAAATCACATTTTAGTTGCTACTTTGGAAGTTTGAACCTGATGGTAAATATTCCGTCATAAAGCTTTTCATTTATTAAAATCATTGTTAACATTTTAAAGAAGAAAAAAACTGTTATAAATTACCTTTACAATTGGACACAACATCACTTAAACCGAGATCGATAAGAAAGTCCTTTAAATCCATTTTTTACAGGTACTTCACTACTTCACAACATAAAACTAAAACTAATGATGCTTACGCGAGGGCGTGAAATAAGTAAATAACGTATTTTAGGGCATATTTAGCAAATTTTACAAAATATATTTATTAATAAAAAATGATTTATTATTTTTTACTTAACACAGCTTTATTGTAAACAAAACGTGTAACATTTAATAAAGAAAACATATTCAACAATAAACATGTATTTCTTACAAATGCATTATTTATTAATTAAAATTGTATCATTTGTTTTATGGAAGTTGGACAAAATATATTTATTTATTTAAAAATATGATTTATTTTTAATTAATAGATATATCTATGTTTTAAATGTATTAATCCGTTTGGTTTTTATAAAGAAATATTTATTTCTTTTAAGCAAACTCATTAAAACAATTGGCATATTAAATAAAAATATATTAATTTTGCCGTATTGAAATAATAAACAAATATTTGTTATTCAGAAACAATATTTTTTAATTATAACTGAAAACTACCAAATATATGATTTGTTTATTATAATAGTATGATTTCTCTCAGTGTATTAACAAAAAAGTTATAGGCCATTTTTAATTGAGGTGCTTTTGTCAAATTTTAACGAAAAATTTAATAACTTGAAAACTATTCACTATGGTAAGTACATGGTAATTTTACTGAGAATTTTATGCAGAATTTATAGGGTGTTCTATTTGAAATAACAAAGTTAACGTTCAAAATATTTTTAAAAAATGGATTTAAATGAATTATAAACGGACCACAAATGTAAAACACCCTGTATATAATATTTAAATATTACACCAAAAGATAACGTTTTTTTGCTAAATGGTCGAGTTTCTATCGCATTTCATTAATTATTACAGCCACATCTGACTTCCTTTTTATTCTCACGCGATATTAAGTTACATCAATTATCGCGTTACCGTTTTTTTAGACAGTTTTGTGTTTGTTTTGTTTCGGTTGTGGTATTTCTCTCTGAAAAAGAATGTTGAAAAAGTGGCCAAGCTCGTTAAATTAAATTAAAAGAAAATTAATTGAATAAATGTTAAATTTAAAATATTTTTTTTTAAATTTGCATTTTGGCAATTTTCGCAATTGTTTTCACATTTTTTTCTGAAATTTTACTTCAAAATATTGATTTTTTAAAATTCCTGTATATTATTTGTCATATGATACAAATGAATTATTCAGAGGAAAAAACTCATATTGAGAGCTAGTTATCCTAACCACTAGACCATACGGGATATACTTTATATTAAACAAAACCTATAAGCGTTTTTTTTCGATAAATACATTTATCGAAAAAAAAACAAAAGAAAACTTTTTGTGGATCAGGCAATTTCCTACAAAAATATGTACTATAGTAAGTATACTTACTTCAAAATTCCAACTATTCTGCAAGTTATAAATTTGTATAAAAAAATAATTTGAATGGATATGTTTACGAAAAAACCATAGGAGACCTTTTTTGTAGTAATTTCCTATTAAAATATTGAATTGATAAGAACTGACTGACTTCAAAGAAGATCCATGCTGCATCAAAGACAAGCAAACCTAACATTCTTGTCATTTAAACATAAAAGAACCAAAAACATTAACATTGACAAACTATATTGTTAAATTGTATGCATATACAGGGTGTTATTTAAGTAAGTGGACAAACCTTAGGGGACGATTCTAGAGTGATTCTAAAACGAAAAAATCAAATAAACATAGGTCCGGAAATAAAAAATGCATTAATTGTTAATTGTTAACCATAAAAATTGAAATTTTTAAAATCAAAATAGACCATGCAGTAATATGGAAAAAAATGACAGATACACCCCATTTTTTGATAGTTTCGTAGTTTTATTTTTTTATTATGTTGTCCCACGAACATGCAATCAGAGCTGTCAGAAAAAAGTATCTTAGTTACTTTAGAGTAACTTAGTTACTTTAAAGTATCTAAGTTACTGTATCTTAGTTCCTTTATTTTTTTAACAAAAAGTATCTATAGATACTATAGTATCTTAGATACTTTTTAAAAGGAACTGTAACTTAAAAGGAACTGTAACTTAAAAAAAGTATCTTAGATACCGAAAAGTATCTTAGATACCAAAAAATAGCTAAGATACCACAAGAAAAGTTCCTTTAGTCAAGTTGTTCGAAACGGCGCGCCGCGGCGGCGGCCATCGAAGTTATTATAATAAGTATACTGGCGACTTCAGCGACTGGCGGCGATTTTTGTTATACCTACTTAATTTTTATTCACCTATACTTCTTTTATAATCTGTGACTTCGCCACCCGCTCTGTAGAAGGGTGTTTCCGTTCGTTGCGACTTGAATTTATAGTGGTAAGTCTGAAATAAGTTAGGTTAGGTAAGTACTTGCACTTGCTTCTTTATGATGTACTGATATTGGTTGTTACATTGTACCGTACATTCTATAATGTTCAATGTATGTTTTCCATTTTAAATTTTAAAAAAATGTTAAAAAGGATTAAATGAAAAGTGTGAGATAATTTTTTTATTTTTATAATTAAGTGGTGTTTAATTAACGATTTTATCTCTTTTTATTTTTAAGATATTTTAAAAGTGCCTAAGTTAGACACTTTTTGCATTAGACCCTTCAATGGTCTTAATCAACTAGATTTTATTGAAAAAAAAAAGTTAAAAAAGTAAGCTTATTTGAAAAATCAGGGTGGGGTTGGAACGAATTTTTGTTTGGCGGTTTATACGAAACTTATTACATAATATATAAAGTAACTAAAAAAGTATCTTATTAAGTATCTTAAAAAGTAACTTAAGATAAGTATTTAAGTTCCTTTTTTTAAAGAGTGACTAGATACCCAAAGTAACTTCGGATACTTTTTCAAAAAGTAACTTATCTTGTATCTAGATACTTTTTAAAAGTATCTTTGACAGCTCTGCATGCAATAAAGTGATTTTTATTTTTTTCTCAAAAACGAAGCAATATACGAAAAATAGTAAAAAGTTTTTTTATGCTTAATGTGAAAAAAAATAAAAATTGCTAAAAAGTCAGTGGCACATTTTTTTTTTGTAAAAAATATTGATTCAGGTGTCTTCCGGGACGCCAATGAACTTAATAATTTTAATCTAGTTAGGGCTAAATTAGCCCATTTCTACCCTTAATAACACTATTAAATTTCAACAAAATAGGCTAAAGCAGCGGTTCTTAACCTTTTTGGCTGGCGACCCACAATTCAAAAATATTAGAATCTCGCGACCCGATAAAAAATAAAATTATCAATTTTCTACATTTTATTAATTTAAATTAAGGATGCAGTGATTACGGCGCGCTTTTTTAAAAAGTCCCGCAAGTCCCGCGACCCATCTCGATATGGCGACCCAAATTTGGGTCGCGACCCGAGGTTAAGAAACGATGGGCTAAAGGATTATGGAGATATTTGGGAAAAATCGATTATTTCCGGACTTATGTTTATATGAACTTTTCGTCTTAGAATTACTCAAAGAATCGTCCCCTAAAGTTTGGCCACGTACTTAAATAACACCCTGTATATACTGGGTGATTCACCTTCATTAGAAGTTTATGGAGAACGGAAAATATCACGTCAACTTTTGGGTTTAAAGAATATGTATTTTAGTTCAAATTTGTCAAAAAAAAGTAATCAATTTTTATTTTTTGGGTTTAGGTATCATGTTGTACGCAAAGAAAGTTTAATGGCTAGAATCTCACGTGAGGGATAGGGGGGTCTACCATATCTTAGCAAATCTCACCAAGAAAAATGCCTCATATTTTGCTAGACCCCTCCCCCCTATTTTTATCTCACGTAATTAATGGATGTCCCCTAAGTTAATAATAATGAGATGCGTCTTTTTCGCTTAGGACGGCAGTATAGTCAATACTTACAGATTGATTACATTTACGCACCCAACAACAATACATTTCACAACCATTAACACGTTTTATCACTTTTAAGGCGCAAAAATGTATTTAATAATTCAATAATTATGATTGACATCAATAATTATGATTGACATTGACATCTGCAAATAGCGTTTGTACATATGTCTGCAATTTACAAATAGATATTGTTTAGGTATTGTAGCTCTAGAGGGCAGTGGTGGGAAAGTTTCCAATCTATGGGGGTATTATCTTTGGTGGAGATTAATAACGGGGTGTCTGGTTACGTTCACTTTAAATACCAATAACTTTTTTATTTTAAACGAAACTACCATACAATTTTCACATCATTCGACACAAAATAATGTTTTCTATTGAAATGCTGCAGCATTCCCTATACCTACCATGAATATTTTTTAGAGAAATTACAAAAAATGTGAAAAAACCGCTTTTTTTTTAATTTGTAATATCAGTGTACCTAGGCGTTGGAATGTCTTTTTTCTACTACCTTACTGGAAAACTTAATTTTCCACCCCCGAGCGAGGGAGGAAAATGCCTCTTTTCCTCCCCGGGAGGAAAAAAAATGTCCTCCCGCTTTTTTTAACAATCTTACATTACCAAGAGTTTTTGTACCTTGTCTAGCCCTATTTGATTTTGTAGGAAAAAGATTTACTCCGCGCTTGTCCAATCATTCTTTGAACAAACTATATTCATTTGCATATCGCTCTTTCGATTTTTAAGGAAGGAAATTAATTGCAACTATTCTTGCCTCTTCAGCAAGATCTTGCGGCAGGTCTTCTTCGCTAGAACTCATTTTCAAAACGTAGGAAGAATTTCAAATTTATGATAAACATTCTGACAGCTTATAACGACTGTTATGTTTGTATTACCAAAAATACCATAGCAACAAAGCGTTGTCAACATAACGTCGGCGACGCAACACCTACTTAATATTTTGTCATAATTTCATAGCCCCATACCGGGTTAGTAAAAGGAACCGGAACGCTTAAAATGTCTTAAAACCGTTAAAAGGTAATAGAAAAAACTATATACCTACATACCTCAGGAGAAAAATGCGTTTCCTCCCTTGAATATTTAATGCCCTTCGCTTCGCGTAGGGCATCAAACTATTCGCGGGAGGAAAAGCACTATTTTCCTCCCATGGTATGTAAATAGCTATTATATCGTATTTATAAAGTAATGTCAATGACAACGTCTCTAAAAATTGTGTTACAATGGGTGATAATAATTACTCTAATCAAAGATATTATATAAACATGTTTTATGCATATATGCATATATATCGCTATATATAGCGACTGCGAAAAAGTTTTAGAAAGAAAAATAAGAACTTTTAATGGTAGGTAGCTAGGTATCCTAATTTATAACCCCATCCATAAAGTGAGACAAGCGTTTTCGGAATTGTCCCATGAAGAAATGTTGAGAACATTTCTGAAGGTGTCTTGCGACGTGTGGCGATACATTGAACAATTACTTTTTTTTTTATTTGTTACTTTTTTAATTTTTTCAATATAATTTTTAAAGTTTAAATTGATAATTCTCCTAACGTTGTTTAATACGAATACGAAATCCAACGAACAATACTGATATTACACTTTAAAAGTACCAATTGTTCTTTCTAAAACTTTTCCGCACTCGCCATATGTATAAAACATGTTTAAAATATATTGATAAGTGTAATTATTATCACGCATTGTAACACAATTGTCAGAGACGTTGACATTACTTTAAAATACCTACTAAATAAAGGACAATCCAATGCACACTAATATTACTGATATTACAAATAAAAAAATAAACGTTTTTTTTTTACATTTTTTGTAATATCTCTGTAAATATTTATTTTAGGTAGGGAGGTATACGGAATGCTGCAACATATAAATATCTCAAAAACCGTTAAAAATAAAAAATACTCAAATTTTAGTATTTCTAGAAATTTACTTAGAATTTAATTTTAAATTGGCAACACTGTCTGAGAACAGCAACACCTTAAATTAAAACATTACTCACCATTGGTGGTTATCAGGGAGCTGTTAATAATACTAGTAGTTTCGGTGTTTTTCTGTGTTGGACTAGTCACCTCCAATTTTACCATGGGAGAGGCGCTTGTGGAGATCTCGGCCACCTGACATGGAGTGCCTGGTTCCTTTTTTACGTTTACCTGTTAAGTGTAGAGAACAACATTAGTAATAGTAATTCGTTTGCCCAGACTGCAATGAAGGTTCGAAAATATTCCAGGAATATTCCGCTTCATTCTAGGAATATTCATTGGGAATATTCCTAGAATGATCCTCTAAAACTTCCAAGCATCATCTAAGAACATTCCCAGTGAATATTCATTAGTTTAGTTGCAATACCTCTCACCGTTGCTTACGCACGCTTGATAACTATATATACCGATAGGGTAATAATATCAGTTGGAGATGTGCGTCTGTGATGGCACAGCTAAACAATGATTAGAGTGGGACTGATTTACTCAGTAACTCAATAATGGCTATACTTAAGTTAAGTTCCTGGGTATAAGAGGCAATAAGGGCTAGGAATAATCCCCAAATTTTATCAAGGAATATTCCCCTAACAATCCTTGAGTCTTCTGTAGGCAGATATATGGAATATTCTTTTTATGATGCCTGGGTTAACCAAAAAGCGGACATTTGATTATGCCAGGAATATTCCTAGGAATATTCTGGGACGCTTGGAATATTCCTGGGAATATTCCTGACATGTGCAGGGAATGTGATTTTGCATTTGCATTTCATTTATATTATTTACCCCGTTCCATTCGATGGGGTTGGTCCTGCTGCACCCTGTGAGGCTCCTAACAGGGGAGGCGGGGCAGTTGCAGGAGGATTTCTGCTTGACATTGCAGCACTTTTCGTCGCACCGTTTCTCCTGGATCTGCACCTTTTTCGGGCTGGACGGGTAGTCTGGCTGGATCTGGATTATGTTGGAGTTGAAGCCCTTGGTGAGCAGTTCCAGCTGCGCCACCGGGATGGGGGAGTAGGGGGAGCCCGGCGGGGGGGTCGGCGCCCCGAACGTGTACCCCGTCGTTGAGAATAGAGAGTCTGAAACTGAGGGGGATGTCAGAATTTGGGCTATCGTGAAACAAAATTTAATAGATATGTATTTTTTAGACATATTTTGGTTCAGTTAAACTTTTGATATAACTTTTTGGTAAATTAACACAGCTTTAGTTAATTTGGATATATTATCAACAAGTTATATTTTACCAAATAAATATATTTTATCTACTCCTACATTGACGAGCTGTGACTTTATGGCGTTTTAGTCACGGGCTGAAGTTGGAAATAGTGGCTTTTGGGCATTTTAGTCACGGGCTGAAGTTAGGTTTATTATAAATTAGAGAAAAGTGAGGTTAATTCCGTTGACAGATGTCAAATTTTTAACAAATAAAATTAGATTTAAATTCTTCTTTGTGTTCGTCGTAGATAAAGTATAGTATGCAACTCGTTTTATAAACTTATCTAGACACTCGTTTTTATTAAACACTCGCTTGCAAGCTTGGCTCGTGCTTAATAAAACTCGTAACTAAAATGGCGTTTATAAAACTTGATACATAATATACTATTAACTCTAATTAACGTTAAATTATAAACTAATTAAAGAAGTGATGGTTTTGCAGTTTTCATTCTTACCTGCATAGAAAAATCTACAAACGCTGCTTTCAGTACTTAGTAGGTAGCATTTGCATTAATTATTAAGTAAATTTACGTTATGTTAATAAAAATAACACTCTTCCAGATGCAGAAAGGCATTGATATATCATTTATAAATATGGTTATTATTATTTGTCCAAAAAAACAGTTATACTGTTTACAAAAAACGTTTTTTAGTATTAATAAAACCCTATTGGTAGGTATTCATAGAAATTTTACAAATCCCTTTTCGTTTAAAATAAAACTTTTTTAATAATATTAATAAAATTTATATAAATTTAACAATGAATTAATTGTTAATTCAATAAACTATTTTCATTGTAACAATGGTCACATTTTTAACCTACTGTGAGGCAGTTTTTTTAAAATAATTGCAAGGCATAAAACAAATTATTTATTATAACAAAAAAATTAACTCATATTATATGACGTACAAAATAAATATTTCTTTTAGAAAACATCGAAATTTTAATTTTCTTGATCTTTTTTGTGATCTTTTTGATATTTTTATCATGCTAGATTTTACCTCACTTCACTCGCCCTTTTCCCCTCGTAAGCTATTAACAAAGATTTTTTAACAGAAATAAAATTAATTTGAATTACAAGTTGTAATTTACAACGATAGTAAATTAAAAAAGACAAATATGCCATAATAAAATAATAGTATATTATGTATACATATAGACTTACTATAGAATAGTTCACAAAGTTGTAAACAATTATTTATCTACCAATCTTAAAACAGTCCCCTCACATTTAATTAATTTGGTAAGCATCTATTTTTATTACTAAAACCAGAACGTAAGATCGGCTGGAATTTTTTTTAGGTTAGTTATTGTAAAAATTAGAAGTTAGTTTAATTTAACTAATTTTGGTAATTAATAGCTATAATGTGTTACATTTATCGAATTTAAACCACAACCAAATTTCTTAAGAAATATAAATTTTCGATAGGTAAATAAGGTAGTTAAATTAAACACAATAAATAATCAAATGGTTTAAATAAACTTGCAGGTTAATTTATATATTTTATAGTCTACTCTACTATAACAAGTAGGGTTTAAGTAGGGTGCACCCTAAAATCGCCATATTGTTTGCTGCCCATTCTAACAAAAGGAAATGCCATTAATTTTAATAATTTGTTTTATTCCAAATAAAACATAATATGATTTTATGTTTAATAGTATATTATGTATAAAGGTGTATAATCGCCATTTTAGTTACGAGTTTTATTAAGCAAGAGCGAAACGAGATGTCTAGAGAAGTTGCATAAATCAATTTCAAAAGAAATAAAGAATAGTTTTTTTATTAATTTTTTTCCTTATTTTTTATTTTTTTTATATATCAATTGATATATAGGGTGATTTTAATTTTTTTCTTTATTTTTTATTTTTTTATATATCAATTGATATACAGGGTGATTCACCATTGGAAATTTTAAAGTTACCCCCTGTTCCCCCTATAAGGAGGAGAGTATGAGGACCAATTTTAGTACTGATTCATTTCCCCCCAAGAATCATTTAATTTTTATTTTAAACATTTTTTCGTAAAATGCAGAAGTGAGATATTTCAAAGTTTCAAGTTAAATGACTCCGCCTTTATATATACAGGGTGATTCACCTAACTTAGGTATTCATTAGAAGTTTATAGAGAACGGAAAAAGATATCGATTTGAAATTTGTATAGCAATTATAAGGCAATGTAAACTATATCAGTGCAAAACTCTTAGAAATACACGCGTTACAATTTCTATATTATGCGCAATCCATTGGAATGATGATCCTTGGTTAACTACAGGTCGATTTTTTTATTTATTTTATTGGTAATCCCTTGCAATAGATATATGTCGCTGCTAACACGTGTCTAATAAAAATAAAATATAATATTACATTGTGTGAGACAAAGTAACCCGCAACCAGAGGGTAACTTTACACACCCAGTTTTTAATGTTTATTTTTGAAACTCAGCCCTATGTAATATTATAACATAGTTATTATGAAAGAGCAACTCAAGACTCAAATTTTGGTATACAAAATTTAATGTTTATGATTGTTAAAACCACAAAAATTTTAAGCTGAAGTTTGAAAGTGAGCCAAAGCCACCCGTGTTTACGGTACCCACGATTTTTTAACTAATATTTAAGTTTCCTTTGCAAATGAAAACTTAAACCATGGTTTAAGTTTTATACATTATTTCATGATAATTATCAATTTCGCACCATGGTCACTTTTTACCTGCCAGCATTAAATCCTTTAATTTAAAGGATTATTGTACTATTTTTAATAAAAATACCTCGAGGATCCTTTAATGTAAAAAAAACATTATTTTGTCAATTAATTAATTTAATCCTAATTGAGGTATAAAAAATGGTATTTAGTTATAAATAATAATTTTTATTGAGGTATAAAGAAACTATTTATACATATACATTACTTAATTAATTTAGTTCGAAGATTAATTTGCAAACAAAAATACCTCCTTTCGTTAAGCAGTTATTCATAATGGATTTTTTAACAGTGGAAGAAAAAATAGAAATGATTTTGATTTATGGAGAAGCTGGCAGGAATCTTGATGATGCTGTTAATATCTACGCTCAGCGTTTTCCGGGAAAAAATGATCACGTACTTCATTTCACCGTACAGTCAAGCAGTTTACTACAAACGGGAGTTCAACCGAAAAAAAAAGAGTTCGTCGAGCAAATATTTAATATTTTTATTTTGAGCATCTACGTTAATTAAAATTTAAAAAATAAATAAATACATTTATAAAATAAAATAGTATTTTATTCAAAAATTATTCGAGAATCGTATACAGAAGAAAAATCGAACAGAATTGATTTTTTTTCATTACAGCGCCATCTATTACAAATATGTCCCTGTCCCCCCTCGAATCATTTAATATTTATTTTAATTATTTTTTCGTAAAATGCATACTAACTGAGATATTTCAAAGTTTCAAGTTAACTGATTCACCCTGTATATACATACATAATATTATATTAGTATTAATATTCAGGGTGGACATTTTATTTTAAGGATCTGTAAGTCATAATTATAGATATTAATAACCAAATTTGGTAGATTATAATTATATAGAGTTAAAGTTATATATAAATCATTCTATTTCTTTATCCACAACATTCACATCTTCAGTAGATTGAAGAAAGAATCTTAAGTCACCTGAGTAGCGAATTTTTGAAGGTTTCGAATTTCTTTCTCATCTTCACTCACGTTCAAAAGTAATGAATCAAGACGCTGTAGTTTTTATACTGCGTTTGGTAACTTTAGAAAGAAACATAATCCTCTATATAAAAGATCAAATTTAAATAATATTACGGCTGGTGGGCGTAAAACTTTATTCAAACAAATCTATCTATAATGAAATTTATTCAAATTTGCTTCCGGTCCTTGTATATACATACATATGTATCGGAAGTGCGGAAGCCAGATAGAAGCCAAACTATCATGCCTACGTAAAAATATAACAAAATATTTTCGTACTTTGTCGTTGCAGATGAAGCTTTAATCAATTGGAAGGAATACTGGATTCAGATCGAGACAGTGTTTCCCAGTGCAAATTCTATAATTGTACTGCCAAAACAAGGCATCAACCGGTCGGAAACATCTCAGGCCTTGGTAAATAAAACTTGATAATAATACCTAATATAACAGATACGAAGTGTGGGATTGTGCTATGTCAGAGAGTAAATACCAAGTAGGAGACCACACGGATCGTACACTGTTATAAAAATCAAATTTGTTAAGATAAGTTTGTAGTTTGTTAATTTTATTTTGTAAAAATTTAACATATTTTTTTGTAGAAAAACAGGGTTTGTAATTATTTTAACAAAGGAAAATATTTCACCGAAAGTTTTAGTAAAGATAATATGCAATTTTGTAAGCATTTTGTTAATTTTAATTTTATTTTGTAAATGTTAAACAAATTATTTCATTAAAAAAGTAGACGTGATTTCAGGCAGTCAATCAAAACATTTCCCACTGACAATACGCAACAACGAGTTCAACTGACTTCAGCTTCTGCAACTTATGTTTCTGCTTACTTTATTTTAATTCGAAACGTGTTCGTAACAACTGCCCTGTTTATAATGTATTACCAAAAATCTGTTAATATTGTTATTCGGATTTCTTATACCTATTTAACGAGCGAAGTGCGAAGTATCCGAAAAAAGATAACATGGTTTTCAAACTAAAATTAGGGATAAAGTGAAGTGGGTTAAAGTTACGAAATACATCAGTAAGTGTTGTAGTAGTACTGATAATTATATTGTACCAACTTTCTTTATAATTTGATGATTTCAGAATGGTGTGTTGTTTAATTGTGCACACATGTGTATGTTATGGGCCTTTCCATCTCAAATCGACCAGGCAAAAAGG